ACTGGACATCTATCTATAACAATACGAAGACGAGGGCAAGAAGAACAGCTCGTCTCTTTTTTGCTTCTCCGGATCTCGGAGAAGCAAGGAGTCTTTGTTGGTAGGACACGCCGCTTTCACACTAGGCCTACGGCTCATTGCGCGGAAAACACCTGCCGGAATCCGGTATTACAGCGGTGTCACGCGCTTGATGTGGCAGGGCCGACCTGACCTGACCTGACCTGATCTCTCATGCTGCGTGGGAGGGATACGACCTGCCACAACCAGGCGCTGCATCAGCTGGACATCCTGGGCCCGACCGAGCTATCCTGACCTGACCTGACCTGACCTCACTCTACACTCTGTGTTACAGGGAAAACAACTGCCATAACCTTAGGTTGCGGCAGTGCGAAACGCTGGGCCTGGCCGAGCTGACCTGACCTAACCTGACCTTACCTGACCTGACCTAACCTGTTCCAACCTAACCTGACCTGACCTGACTCCGCACCCCGTGTTACAGGGAGAGCATCTCCCGCAAGCCGACGTTGCGGCGGTGTGACACGCGGACCTGACCTGACCTGACCTGCCCTGACCTGACGTGACCTGACCTGATTGCGTTCCAGGGAGAATATCTGCCGTAACCCGGCGCTGCAGCGGTGCGACACGCTGGGCCTGGCCGAGCTGGGCACCATGTGCGACCCACGCGCCTCCTGCTCCATCATCCAGGACAACGGCCTCAGCGCCGCCTTCACCGTGGCGCACGAGCTCGGACACGTGTGAGTCGGTCGCGCGGCACGTGAGCCACGTGAGCGTCACTCGGGCGCACATCACGGCCGGACAGGCTGGCAGACAGCCGCTGGTGCAGATGGCTGTAGATCCACTCGTGATGTGGTGTTGCTCGTGGTGTGGAAGTGACCCCATTGCTCCGGCTGGTGCAAGGTGCTGTTGCCAAGCCATGTCAGTGGACGAGAGAAGCACTTTGGGCGGCAGACATATGATTTGTTTCACGTTAGGCTTCATTGAGCTCAGCTCTAATTGGACGTGGGAACTATCAAGTTTTGTGTTGTTATTTGATTTATGACTTGGTTTGGCTTCTCTGTCTGACAGAGCTTCCTGTCTAAGCAAAACGGCAGAATATGTGATGGATTTATGCTTTTCGTGTATGACGTCAAATGACATGACCGTTTTTGTGCATGACATAACTGCTAGCATTCCACAGGCAGGCTTATGCTCGGAAATCTAGAACGTAAGGCACATTTGTCCAATGCCTGGATATGTCATGGACACATAAATATGCTACCGTGCGTTAACGTAATTTAAATATTAACGTAAATTATCGGCACCCACCCAGATTACTCAGCCCTTTTGAAAGCACATTTCTATGAGCTTATGAAAGTGTATGATCTCCATACCTTATGAGGTAACATAGAGTCTTAGCTATTCTCCATTTCATATGTTGCCGCTTTTCGTGTGTCATTTGTCAAGTGTCATGACCAGTTTAACCAGGCAACTTTTGATACCCCCGAATCCCTAGCAGGAGGCACTTTTTGTGCATGGCGGGTAGATAAGACGTGCTAAGATCAAACCGCCGAAACTCGTCACAAAACTCGGGGAACGATGAGTATAGAATCCCCATGCGCAGGGAGGCTCAGCCAGTTGTAGCAGGCCCTGCATTCCTACAAAAAATTAAAACACGCTGTGCCCCACTGAGACGCGACCAATTCTATGTGGTTGGAGGCAATGCTACACCGTCGCCAACGACGCTGGCTTTCGCACAGCGAATTGAGGAAACAAAGTAGCGTTGCGCTGGGAGTGTATCCGAGTAACCAATGAATGTCAAGCAGCTTGCAAATGTCAGCTCAGAGATGAAGCCAAGGAGTAGTGGGCACGCCGAGGTCACAGCCCCCTGAGATATAAGCTTTGCATTGTGTACTTGGTGATTTCGCAGGAATTCAGTCAAACTGGTAGAAATTCGGAGAAAATTTGACATCCCCCCCTTAAAACAATTCTGACTACGTGTCCGTGCTAATAGAAAGCTAATTCATCTTGTTGAGACACAAGTCAAGGTTACGCCGTTGGCGGCGGAGCAACGGACGTCAACAGCGCCGCTTCTTCGTGCAGCGCACGGACTCAAACTTCAACCACACGGGGCGAACCCTTGTAACCACCTGCGACATAAATCCTTTGACACGCACATATCTAAGAATTAACGTCGACTTTTGTGTCCCGCCCGTCCGATACCAGAGGTGTCGGTCGTAACGCGCGCGAGAGGAGGAAGCGTGTTTTGGCATTTAGTGGTCCCATGTTTCGCATGTTAGTGGAAACCAGCGTGCAAAATCCAAGCCGCCAAAAGATACCGCAAAGCACGAGCACAGCTGGTCGCCTTTACTTTAGTTACGAACCCGAAAGATTTGCTACATCTTCTCACGGATCGAATTAAAGGACAAATTCGGGAGTGCCCAATCGCTTTATCTTTCTTTCCGTAAAGGTTAAGCATAATCGTAAGCACTTCGTGTAAGCTGTAAGCGTAAGTGAACAAAATAAAGCACTCTGGCGTTGAGGAAAAGGCGTTGGCGCTGAGGAAATGTTCATGTGTTTGCTGGATGAAGTGTTCCCCTTTGTAAGCTGGGACCCAGACATGTTTGTGTTTTAGTTCACGATCTGACGCGTTTGTGATAACGTATCCACGGCTACGGTGAACCTATTTATAGTGTCAAACGCGACTGGCAGCCGGCCATTGGTCTAGTTGAGATGCAGACTGTTTTCGTGGCCTAACCACGTGAACACTTCCTCACGACGTGCCGTCTGCCTTGTTTGTTTGCAGTCTAAACATTCCCCATGACGACGACTTCAAGTGCAAGCCGTTCATGGGGCCTGATAAGGCCGAGTACGCCATGTCGCGGATGCTGAACCACAACACACACCCGTGGTCGTGGTCCAACTGCAGTCGGCACTTCCTCACCGACTACCTATCGTGAGTATCCTCTGCTTGCAGTGCTCGCCATCGTTGCTGTTTGGAGACAAGCCTGTCGTTGCGAGACGACCGTTTGTACTCAGTGTGGACGCACAGGCTGCTGTTGGAGTCCGAATCACGGCGCTGCGCCAGACTGCTGTCCCCTATGGGAACGCCGACTGACGTTAACGCCACCGTAACGGCTTAAAGAGGATCAGCCGTTCGTAGGACTTGGCGACGCCAGCCAACACAAGCTCCTGAACGATGCGTTAAGGCCGCTACGTTGACGTGGAAATAGCCTGAGTTACGACCCAACACCAGCTTACCGTGCGGCACAATGGACCCCAGTCACCCAGCCGCGCCTTCAAAGGCGGATTTGGAACGTAAGAGAAGGGCGCTTGAGCAGCGTCTTGGTTATCACCCATAAATAGGGATTAGCGTCATGAAATGTACTCCTCGTCGCCGGCCACCTGTGCCAATTAAAGATCCATTCTTTGCGCAGCAGGAAGCTTTGCACACGTGCCGTCGGAGCTCGCATGAACTGTCTTTTCCGCCCCCTCCTTCTGTGCTTCAGCTAGTGGCGCCAGGTGTGCACTGTATTTGCACGCAATGCATGAACGGGGTGGCACTGAATCGCCTCTGATCTTGAACTCCGGAATCAAATGGTTAGTCGCTTCTGTGAGGTCGTTGTAAATTGATACACTGACTCGATGCAATATACAGCATGCTCCTCATGATGGTCACGCTGTGCGGCGACTTTGCCGAATTGACGTCTTTTGCAATGCAGATTGCAGATGATTTTATGCGCCGTGCCTTGCTTTATGACGGATCGAACGTGCAAACAAAGTAGACAGAATGCAAACACAGTCTATCATCGTGGGAAACTTTTTGCCGCTTTCATTCTTCACGTATCCATTCACATCCAACACGTCTGTTGTTTCGTTCATGCCATTCGATCCGCAAAACAGGCATGCAGACAGGTCGCAGGGGGTCTTCCCTGTTGTAACAATCTCTGTCAGGCACAAAAACGGCATGTTTTTTAGCGTTGCTGTGACGCGATTCATCGCTCAGTGGTCCCGAGCCGCGTGCCGAGCTCTGTTCCAGTCGAGACCAGATCACTGGGCCATAAGCGCCACCCGTCACGCACGGTAGGAAGCGATGTCGTTGACACATGTCTTCACTAAGCAGTGTCCACCCACTTAAAACATTGCACGTTATTTAGTCGTTGTTTTGAAGCAGTTTGCCCTTTTATGACCGTACGACATCAGTAATATCGATATTCCTCCAGCCCTTGTATCCCCAACCGGTATGAGGTAAAGTAAGACATCGTCTGCAGTTGGATCCCGCGGCTTTGGCAGCTCCGCCTAGAGAAAGGCTGACAGCCTCACCTGGCAGCCACCTGCCGCACCGGACAGCCCCGCCCCTCCCTCCACCAGTCAGGTGTCAGGCCTCGTGCGCTAGGAGCGGCCGCCAGCCGCCCATTCATACGCCGATCACGCACCGTCCGCGCCGGCCACGTGAGCCGACCGCCTCAGAGGCATGACACTGCGTACGAGGAGGGGGAGGGGGGGGGGGAGTGGGTGGGGGTCCGCGCCGGCCACGTGAGCCGACTGCCTCAGGGGCATGACACTGCGTACGGGGAGGGCGGGGGTGAGTGGGTGGGGGGTCCGCGCCGGCCATATGAGCCAACCGCCACGAAGGCATGACACTGCGTACGGGGAGGGGGGGGGGGGGAAGTGGGGGGAGGGATCCGCGCCGGCCATGTGAGCCAACCGCCTCAGAGGCACCACATTGCGTGTGGGGAGGGTGGGGTGGGGGGGAGTAGGGGGGAGGGGTTCGCGCCGGCCATGTGAGCCGACCGCCTCAGAGGCATGACACTGCGTACGGGGAGGGCGCGGGGGGGGGAGTGGGTGGGGGGTCCGCGCCGGCCATATGAGCCGACCGCCTCAGAGGCATCACACTGTGTGTGAGGAGGGTGGGGGTAAGGAACTACCCGCGGTAGCAACGGTGTGCGCAGTACAGGGATGCATTCTGAACATGGAGCTTTCGTGTACGCGCAATTGCACACGCTTTTAGTCCGTCGCATCACAGACGCGACGGACTCGCTTCGTCACACACGTCCGTCCTCCTATCCGCCTTTGCGGCATACCCGCCGCGCCTACTGCCAGCGGGCACGCGCCGCAATCGTCACTAATGAGGCGCCCTTGCCGCCGTCTTGCCTGAGGACACCGAGTACCAGCACAATCTGGCTTGATTGGCGTAGATGAGTGCAAGCGTGACGGCAAAGGCATCGCCCGTGAGTGTTCTTTACGCTTCTGATGATTTTCCTGGATTCTGTTATGAATGGCTCAATTCCATGAACAGCCGCGCTCGCACGCAAGATAAAGCAGATCGCGCAAAATGCGACCAATCCTCGTGGATTGGTCGTATTGGAAGGGTGGTGCTACAATGCTGACACGTCCCACAGGAAGCGTTGATACGTTCAAATACCATCTGCTCAGGTTATGGTTACAAAGAAGTACTCAGCTCCAAGCGGGGTAGTCGATTTACCGGACGTAAACACGCATAGAATGTGTGGATTACAAACATCGTGACCCGCAGCTCAACACAAAGCTCACAATTATTCGTTTGTGGCTGCTGACACGCTAACGGCTACCTTGCCGCCCTTCGGACAGTTTCATAGCTTGCGTGAGTCAAGACGTCATGGCACGCAGGTTCCGCGCAAGCCTGTTTACCTACGATGCATTGACTAGAGTGCTCGTATTGGTGTAATTCCGTTGCGATCCGGGTGGGTCAAGTTTTTTAGCGTGTCAGCGGTCAACCCTGTACAATGTTGAGTTTTCTTGACTTGTGGGTCACAACGTTCGTGATTCACATGTCCAAGCTTGTTTGCCCCAACAAACCGACCGCGCCGTATGTAATGCGCTGTTTATTGTGACTGGACTTGAGAAGGTGTTTATTTATCGCGCCAGCAGCAAAAAAGAAAACATTGACCTTAGCTGTTCCCTGTGCCACAAAAACAATAGGTGACACCTTCCATGCTCGTTTGCCTCCGGTAAGTCTACTACAGCTCGTCGAGTGGATTCCTTTTTATATATATTTGGGGTAAGCAAAAGCGGCAAATGTATGAACCACCGATATTGAAGTGGTGAACAATCTAAATAAACTTTAATCGGTGAGCAACCTAAATTTGTTTATTTATGGGTCACTATCCTCATAACCCACTTGTTCCATACGTGCTTGTCTGTGGTAAATCGACTGCACGGCGACCAATTGTCAGCATTTCCTTGTAATCAGAGAGGGGGAGGGGAGAAAGGTTATTGTCTTTTGTCCGTTGGCGTGTTAGCGGTCAAAAATGATTGTGATGACCAAACAATGACTTGAGTGACCGACGGGTCATGGCATTAACTCCACATACTCCTTGCTCAACTGCTTCCGGTGAATCGACATCGGTGTATCACCTGACGTGTTTTGTATTATGAAACAAGGAAATTTTTCACGAGGCAGTACCTCAAGATGAACATCACTGAACTTTGTTGACCTGTGAGTCATAATGGTCATGGTCGATATGTCTCGTTTACCTCCATCAACCGACTTCAGCACGTTGATGACACCCTTGTGGCAACTGTGGCAGGAAACTTTGGCGCTTGAACGCATCAACATTTCAGTGCATCCTGAAGAAGGAGATATTCTTTCGAGGGAGGTTGAAACTGGAACCCTCCGTAAAAGGGACGCACCCGACGCCCGTCCCCCCCCCCCCAGTGATTTGCTCCTAAAACCTGTCCTGTGTAGATGGCATATTTTTGTGTCGCGAGTATCTGAAGCCTGACTGGTGACAATTTCATATCTCATTGGCTGCTCCGCCTGAGGATATTCTGACACTTTGTTATTCGATTTTTTCCAACATGACTTCTATCCTTTTTACCTGTATTCTCTATATTCCCTTTTCTGGTGACACTATCATCCGTGATAACTTTCATCCTCCTCGAATTTTCGTCCTTCGATTTGTTTTAACCGATCTGTATCTCCGCCGGCCCCTGTCCCGTCAACTTCCCGTCCTCCGACCTTTTTGCATTTGTCTTTCATCCTCACAAAACTTTGCACCCATTTGGCATCTTTTGTTTGCCTTTCCCATTCGAATTTCATTCACCTGGCTTGTTCCATTGGACCGTTTGCGCGGGGCCTGCGGCGGAGGTGCAACTGCAAGCATCTGCCAGCCGCCGAGCCCCGGGCCCCGGGGCCCGGGCCACGTGCGGTCAGTGGCGGCAGCGGCGCGTGGCAAGGCCGCCAGGCGCGGAAACGTTTACCCAGCCGTCGGTCAGACCGGCGTCGACCCGGTTCGGCTCAGAGGGGCGCGCATTCCTGGAACGGCGGCGGCCGGCGACGTCTGGGGTCGCTTCAGTGGAGCGCGCAGCCGGCGCGATGTGTCTGAGCTGACATTGGCCGCGGCCGAGCTCGCCGGTGGTGTTCAGTGGCCAGAGCCGGTGCTCTGGCGACGCGACCGCGGGGGTGAACAGGCGGACGTCCTCGCTACTCCCGGAACACTTGTGTCGGGTGGGGGCGCGGGGCCGCACCGATAGTGCTGTGACCGGCTGAAATACACGTCAATATTTCAGTGCCTGGGTTCTGCTTTTCAGTGGCTCAGCCAAGGAAAGGGAGGGAGGGACATTTAAAGTCATGCCTCTCCCCCTGGAGTTGGTGGGGCTCCTGGAATGGAAGACCACAGTACGTTTTGACAGGTGAAGACGCTCTGAGGGCTTCTTAGCCAAAAACTGGGACCTCCTGACATCAGAGTCAGATCACGAGCGTAAAAAAGTCCCCCGAATAAAAAATCGGGGCCCCTATAGCAAAGATGTGGGGCTCTTGGCAGAAATGACCTCGTTTTCCTCGATTTAGCATCTTCCTTGGGAAATACTAGCTGGGTCACTGCTTCCAGGTAGCACCATTGTATACGCTCCTACCGACTATTCTATTTCAGGACACCACTGCTTTCCGGGGCTTAGTACGTAGGTGTCCGCCGGGTGAATTAATGCGGAGGCTACGTTGTGTCTTCCATGCTACCAGCGCATTAGCACCTACTAACACCTTCACTGGGTGGACAGCGACAGACAGCTGATCCCAGTCGGTGCCCTCACTGGGTGGACAGCAACAGATAGCTGACCCCAGTCGGCTTCGATTGCAGCGGCGACTACGGCCAGTGTCTGAAGAACCGGCCGCTGGCACCGAGCCCTCTGCGCCAGGCGGGCGGCGACCGGCAGCCCACTCAACACCCCGGCGAGACGTACAACGCCAGCAGCCAGTGCCAGTTCCTGTTCGGCAGGGAGTTCAAAGTGTGCTCGTACATGGTGAGGTCATGGCGCGGCTGTCGCGAGCTGCCGTGGAGGGGTGCCAGCTCCGGCCGAGGCTGGCTGCCGGTCGCGGTACGGAGTTGCTCTCCGCCGGCTGCGGTACGGGACTTCCCGCCGCCGGCCGCGGTACCGAGGTCGCGGTACGGAGCTGTCCGCCGCCGGCCGCGGTACGGGTGCGGAGCTGCCCGCCACCGGTCACGAACCTCACTGGCGGCGGCCACCGTGGCGGGCACACCTCCTCCCGCGCCTGTTCAGCCGCTGGCTGGGCAGTGAGGTGTGGTGCGTGCGAAGCGGTGCATTATTTGGCGATGCGAATTGCCAGCCTTGGCCCGAATGTGCACGTTTATGGTGTTGTAAAACGGGTTAAGGCTTCATTGGGTGCTTTCAGAATATGGGTCTGCCAAGAGCAACACAATGACTTCGTGTTTATACACTGGCAATGAATCAGATTTATTTAGTCATTCGTGGGCCAACATAATGTAAATTCATTGCTTCATCCGTAGTTATTGGTTGTCATCTGTATAAAGATGAACATGCACCTGACACATTATGAGAACTTCATCCCACAAAAGAACCAGAAATCTGTACTTTAATTTCAAATTTAGTTTGATCTGCCGAATGGAGTCAATATAGCATCAATAGCATCAATAGCAGGCCTCAAGTAAGAAGAACTGTGAGTAGCAGCGCGGTTTATGCCGTGCTCCCCGGTAAAGCAGCCATCGCTCAGCAACCGCCCAGCTCTGGACATTCGTGTCCATATTCACGGGATCCAGGCTGTATAAGCTCTCTCCCCTAATGCGCCCAGCCGCTAGAAGTTTCATCGCGCATCGGCCTACTGCCAAGACCAATGATGTGGGCGGGATCCAACTCGAACAAGTCAACATTGACCCAGCTATCGGCGCCACCTCTTGGGGCAGCAATCTGGCGACCCGGCCGGCCGGTGCCCGGTCACCATGGACGGGTGGTCCCGGAAAACGGAGGTCCCCACAGGACCGCCCTGGCGACGGATCCGCTAGGCCGATAGCACCAATAGCACGCTGTGCACAATTGCCACCGTGGTATGCCCTGTTGGAGGCATCGGTGAGTAATTAGACTGGTCACGCAACTGGTTCGTATCACTTTGATTAATTGCCCCGTTCATCCGGGGCCTTGTTGTCTGTTCTGCTGTCAAGCCTTGCTCTCGTCGAAGGAAATGACTGACGTGCCAATGTCGTCGGTTGTCCTCGAAATACCATGCTCTCACCTTATATTTGGGCTGGGTTGAATGCGAGGAAAAACCAGAGCTGTGGAGTCTTTTGCTTTGTATGTTAATGTCATATTAAGTTACAGTTAAAGCTATGGAGATAATGAGGTTGGGCATGATTATCAGAAGACTTTCAGCACGAACGGCAAACCGGTGCCATACAGGGTAATGTCGCACATCTTGACGTTTGCTGTCAGCAATTCTCGGTCCTTAGAAACGACTTTTCAACTTAGAAATCGAAAATTCACTACGCCAACTCCAGCGTCGTGATGCCTTATTTCCAGCGTCACAGTACCGGCTGACGGTTTCCGTGACCTGATGTCCGATAGTAGCCAGACTGCATTACAGTGCCATCGACGGCTTCTCAGAGAACTAGCGACGTGCCGGTCGCCGGTCGCCGGTCGCTGGTCGCCGGTCGCCAATCGCCAGTCACCAATCACCGGTCACCAGTCACCGGTCAACGGTCGTCGGTCACTGGTCGCCAGTCGCCGGTCACCAGTCACCGGTCGCCGTTCGCCGGTCGCCCGCTGATCCCTGCTGAGCTCCCGCCCGTGTTCCAGCCGGTCTGCAAGCGGCTGTGGTGCACCACAGGCGAGGAAGAGGCCGGCTGCCGCACGCAACACATGCCTTGGGCCGACGGCACGCCCTGCGGCGTCGGCCGCTGGTGCCTGAAGGGCGACTGTGTGCCCAGCGGCCGACGCGCCAACACCGTCCACGGCGGCTGGGGCAGCTGGGGACCGTGAGTCAATCACTGACAGTCAACTGAGACATGCTTCATGGCGGCCGGGGCAGCTGGCGACCGTGAGTCGATCACTGACAGTCAACTGAGACATGCTTCATGGCGGCCGGGGCAGCTGGCGACCGTGAGTCAATCACTGACAGTCAACTGAGACATGCTTCATGGCGGCCGGGGCAGCTGGCGACCGTGAGTCAATCACTGGCAGTGGGCTGAGGCATCGACCACGGGGCCCGGGGCGACTGGAGACCATGAGCTAACCTCTGGCGGGAGCGGTGTGACGCACATAATGCATGGTGACTAGAGAACGTGAGCCAAACAACGGTGCAACAGGGAAGGCGCAGGTGGCAAAGGCGGCGAAGGCGTGCAGGTGTCTTTTTGGTGTGAGACAATGATTTACATCGTGTCGTAAACATTATGCATCATGCAATATGCATGCTAGTGTTTAGCTGCCGTGACTGTTGCATGGGTGATGCGGATGGTAAGAGAGTTGTCATAACTCAGGCTGCGGTTTGCACTGAATGGATCGTCACCATTCTTTCACACACGAAGCTTTTATTCATTGTTGATTTATTAAGTGCCATGGGGTAAATGCATGTCGCAAGAGTTCCCAACGCTCTTGAGTAGGTCGTTCATTCAGCCGGACCGTGGGATTCGCTCGTTATATTCTTGTGATGCAAAACAAATGGCGGGCAGGTGCTTAGCTCTCCCCGTAATGTAAATTCTGGTCGGCGCTCTCCGCTTTTCTTCCGTTTGTTGTTAATTTGTTTTGCTAATGTCATGCTCGCGTCAAGTCTCCGTCGCGTCCCCGATTTCTGATCCGGCGTGCCACGTGAATGCCGCGTGCGTCGCCGCCTGAGCTGTTGCCGTCGCCCGCCAGATGGGGCAGCTGCTCGCGGACGTGTGGCGGGGGCATCCGCCGGTCGGAGCGCGCCTGCAACACACCGACGCCGTCCAACGGCGGCGACTACTGCCTGGGCCGCAGGGTCAGGTGAGGACCGACGCAGCCTACCGGCCGCCACAATCGCAACCACGGCCCCTCAATATTCTTTTAAAGACTCATTTTCGCCTGAAGAAGATCGAATTATGATATCCCCTCCCAGAACGAACTCGTTCCCTCATTTCACGCCAAGAGCTCGATTAACGTAAGCCATGTGTATCCTCGCCTCTTATTCGGCACGCAGGTCATGACATGCAGACTGCGTGCCTGCAGGACAAGTCCCGACAAGTATCCTACTCAGCGTTCGCTTTCAGGAAGCGCAGATCAATTAGCGGCATTCAACAGTTGATATCGATAGTTTGGTATTTCGTTCGTGCCTGAACACCACATGCTAGCGGAAACACCGCCCATGTTTTGGCTACGAAGGCATGCATTTTTTTGGCTGGCGCACGTGATAAGTGGCGCTGCATGCCACAACCTCAGCCCCCAGTCAGCGATTGTCTGTTGGGGTGGTCCGGGGACCATTCCTCTTGACCTAGACACGATCTGGTCTCGTCGCAGCCCCCTGACACCCTGCTGTTCCTCTTAGGAGGAATTCCCCCGTTTAGAACGCTTAATATAAGCCAGGCATCTTAACTGGACTGGCAGTGTGGCGGGCTGGCGTGCTCACTGTTGTTTATGTGACATTAGCGGCCCACAGGCCTCCACCATCCCCACATCATGCACATCGTGCACTCGGCTATTACCGTTGTGCACAGTATAAGACGGGTTTTGGGTTGCACAGCAAAGGCACTAGCTCACTTTTATTTAGTTTGCTAAATTACTTTGTTGGACAGCATGCGGTAAGTGCACTTTGATAGCGAACATCCATTTTTCGTTCGAAAGCATTTGCACCCACGAATTCGGCAATTTAACGGGATTGCATCTTGTACATGCCACATCTCTTGGCTTCATACGTTTTTTTCGTGAACGCGGTCTTTTCTCTTGATCCTGGAGATCTCCATACGTTATACACGCCATAAGAACTAACCCCACAAGGTAGCAACGTTCTCGTAGACTTGAGGCATTTGGTGGGATGCGCACTATGATTACGTGGACATGGGCAGACGTAACGCCTCTGATTCTAGTCACGGCACCCATCCTCAGTAGGAAGTTGGACCCACTGAGTCCATGGGTAGACGTTACGCTTCTGATTTCAGCCACCGCACCCACCCTCAGTAGTGAGTTGGGTTCACTGCGCACTGTGGTCATGGGTAGGCGTTACGCCTCTGATTTTAGCCACTGCACCCATCCTCAGTAGTGAGTTGGTCTCACTGTGTCAAGCTCATTACTGAGGCGTAAATCAGAATGTTATCACTGCTTTACCGTGCCATCACTGCAGGTACGAGTCGTGTAGCCGCCAGCAGTGTCCCCCGGACAGCACTGATTTTCGCGAGGCGCAGTGCGCCACCTTCAACGGCAACAACTTCAACATCAAGGGTCTACCTAGCACCGTCCGCTGGATTCCAAAGTACACCGGAAGTAAGCTGATCACTCTGTTTCACGTGTGCTGGTACGTAGTGGTAGCATAGTGGAACGACATGTTGCTGGGTTGATCGGTAAAATTATATCAAGTAACAACACCATTCAAAGGAGTCCACAGATATTAGCTGCTAATGAGCTCGAGAAAAGGAGAGCAGGCAGCGCATCATCTGCGACCGTATATCGGTCGTTATACCTTGCTCATACAGCGTCAAGAGGCTTCCATATCTCAGTTGGAATCGCATTCGCGCCTGATTCCAGTGGCTGCACATCCAATGTTTGCTGTCAACAGCCGGTCGTTTCCCTCCACACCCAGTTTCCGACGTCCTAACGCTAGCGCTCGGCGCGTCCAAATGTCCCTCGAACCGCACTGACCAGCGTCCCATTGTGGTGCAGTCAAGCCGAAGGACCGCTGTAAGCTGTTCTGTCGGGTGGCCGACTCGAGCGCCTACTACCTGCTGAAGGACAAGGTGCTGGACGGCACGCTCTGCACGCCAGACACGGACGACATGTGCGTGAACGGCGCCTGCCATCCGGCCGGCTGTGACCACGTGCTGGGCTCCACTCTGCGCTCAGGTGGGCGGCCGGCGGCCCCAGCGCGGCGGGCTCGGCGTCCCGCGCCGGGTCGGCTGGCGTCAGGCAGGCTGGCGGCAGGACAGGTTAGGTAACAAACAGCGGATGGGGCCGGGACGGGGTGCGGCCTCGTCGAGCTCGAAGCACCGGGCATGTCGTCGCCTTGCTGGTGGTGATAGTGTCTGCGGTATGGTGACGTAGCGCGGCTGGTGGCTGACGTGGCGCGGCCGGCGGCTGACGTGGCGCGGCCCGTGGCTGACCTGTCGCGGCCCGCGGCCGACGTGGCGCGGCCAATGGCTGACCTGTCGCGGCCCGTGGCTGACCTGTCGCGGCCCGCGGCTGACGTGGCGCGGCCGATGGCTGACCTGGCGCGGCCCGCGGCTGACCTGGCGCGGCTCGCGGCGTTCTGCAGACCTGTGCGGCGTTTGTGGGGGCGACAACTCCACCTGCCAGGTCATCAAGGACCGCTTCGACAGCACCGCTCACCCGGTCCGCTACGGCTACAACAGGGTGGTGCGCATCCCTGCCGGCGCCACACGCGTTGACATCCGCCAGATCAGTCACGACAACACCAGCAAGGACGACAACTACCTCGGTAAGACTGCTGGGCGGGTTCGTGACCTGGGGGAGGCCGGCAAACCCAGCCTGATGGCAGCCACTTTCGGTTTTGCCATGTTCGGGTAGTCTAGGCTCTAGCACGTTAAGTCTGGGTAGGCGGCAAGAAAACCGGTCCAGGTTGAGAAGCTCAGCAGTGTTTTGCATTCGTCTGTTCTCATATGTCACGATAAACCTAAAGCAATTCTCCCAAAATTGGATGACGGGCGTCCCAACCGGTCTTCCTCCACTCCTTATCTCCTCTTGGGGTCCTGCAGGCTGACCAGAGAAGCTTCTCAAGGCATGTCACCGCTCCTATTCAGAGTCGTATGGGTAATGCAACAGGCATTCTGGTCATATATGTAGCGGCCGTTAAGCAACGTCATCACAAAAGTAATACGGCATTGTCCGTGTAAAGATGATACAAGGCAAGTTTCCGGTTAGCCGCTGATCGATTGGCTAGACTAAGGGACTGATGAAAAATGTATGCCCAAGGACTCCAAATGGGAATGTATGATGTATTTGCATATATCAGACCGTTAACCATTCGCCATGAATGTATATTATTACCTGCGATAAGATGGTACCAAAAGTTTTCTCGTTTTAAAATCAAAGCTAAATGCTCCACAGTCGCACTTAACATTTCAGACTGGCTCAGAGCATGGTTCTTACTTGTTGGTGACTTGTTCGTGCATTCCAACATTCTCGTATGCGTTCAAACATCGTAATATGCATTCACCATCACCAAACGGCCATGTTATCGCGCAGAACGTGCAACAGCGTGTTGACCATGAATGAAATATTTCAATCGTATTGAACATCGAATTCTGGAAAATCCCTTTTCTTTTCACAAAATCGTGACAAGCAGATAAAACTGAAAACACTGCGTCTCTTCTAAATACTCTCTCTTAACTGCTGTCTCCTTTACCATCTGGCGAGCTTTGCCAAAACTTGGAAAGTTTATCAAGATATTGGGACATCGGCTTTTAAAAGGTACTCTTAAATTACGTTTTACAAACATACAAGCGATCAACAGACTTAACCCTATCTCTCGACACTTACTGCATTCGTAAATAGAACATGATGGTTAGACCAAGTTGTGAGGCTATGGGCTCATGCGACGCAAATCCAAATGCGCAAGTTCGTATTTTCACTTAATGAAACTAGGCTCAGTAACATTGACCAGCAGGTTAGCCAGCTAGCCAGCTATCCAGCAGTTAGCCGCCGGAGCAGGGTCGCACAGTCATCAAACCGACAGCCAGCTAATCACAACCCGCCTTAGACTGCATTACGAAAAACTTTCTAAAATTTAAGTTCTTTGTGAGCTCCTCGTCTTTGTCATGCCTTCCTTTAAGGTGGTGTAAGATGTCTGACGGTGTTGAAATTCTCAGTCCTCAGAGCTGCATTCACCGTATGGACCGCGTTGTTCATTGCAGCCCCACAGCCCTGCATTGCTATCCTCATTGCCGACGGTTGCCCGGTGCTGGTGGTCGCGCCCGGCGCGGCGCCGGTATCGGTTTCTTTTGATGGGCTGACTGCAGACGGTGCAGCCGCTCTCCTGCATCGGTGACGTGGCCCAGATGCTCATCGATGACGTCACCGCGCGGTGATGCGGCTCGGGTCATAAACTCCAGCCAATGCGGCTCAGTGTTCGTTCGGCCGTGCTTGGAGGTCACGTCCAGCTTAGCAACTGACGAGCTGAAAGCCGTGCATCCTGGGCTACCCGGCATAAGCCGGGCTTTCAAGTCCACGCCGAGACCATTCAGCGCCGGGCTGAAGAAGAGCCGGGGCCAAGTCATCCGTCAGAGACGCTTAGTTAGAGAACACTAAAAGCCCATTAGCCTGTCACGCTCTTGCATGCCGGCACGCCGAGCACCATGCTATGGAATTTAACACCACTGAACCCGGGGTCTGGAAAGAATATTTACAAAAGTTACGTACCTCAATATGCACCGCACGCTGTAGCTCGCGACTTTTATATGGGGACACGTCATGTACGCTCTGCCGGGCGCGTTGTACGCCATTACTGCAGGTTGTCACATGGCATGGATGTGGAACATCGACCATAGGCCCCGCATCGCCAGTTCAGACTATCTACAGCCGCCAGTCACCAGCCATTCAGGCTGTGGTCACTTCTGCTGTCGGCTGTAGTCTCGCAGGATGTTCGCTCGTGATCGTCCTGACTTTCGCAGAAAACAGCTTGGCACAACATCGGCGGAATCTGCTTCACGTAGCAGATATACCAAATTGCAAAAGTCCTCATTTTTGCCCCGGCTTAGGCCAACGTCCTCCACGCCCTCGCTGTAATGCCTTCAAATCATCCTAATTCGTGAACTCGAGATAAGGGTCAAATAGTATAACGGGAATCCATACATTCACGCCCGTCCTAAGCACGGTGCGGGTTACCAATAGTCGGAGACGGCGCTCTCCATGCTTACTATCGAAGCCTGAGGCGGTAGAGCGGCAGGCGCTTCAGCAGTCAACCTAACTCTAGCATCCATTCCAACTTTGGCGCTCAAAAGTGGAAGTTTGCACAGACGTCCACCAAGGACGCGTCATGTAATCAGATGCAGGTCACTAGCTGAGTTCCGGCCGAGGTCACCGGAGGTATGCAGCACCGCCAGCAGGTCATTACCGGCATTCAACGTCCACCGCGGGCGAGCGTAACCAAACAAGCACGGACATCGGAATGTCCCGAAGAAGTCAAAATGTGAACTAGTCGTGACTTCGTTACTCAGTTATGCGACGTCTTGGCAAGCACGTCGGGCGTTTCACACAAAAGAATTCTGGGTTAATTTGCAAGATCCCATGTGAGACGCAACATCTGTTAGAAAGTATCCTTTCTTCTTACAGCGCTGAGGTCGCCGTCCTCGGCCAAGTATATCCTGAACGGCAACTTTGTGGTCAGCATGTTCAAGAAAGTGCTGCAGTTTGGCGGCGTGCTGCTTGAGTACACCGGGTCAGACTCGGTAGTCGAGAGAATCAACTGCAGCAAGCCACTGGAAGAGGACCTGGAACTATACGTACGTAGCTGAAGGGGCTAACTAGCGACAAGAGCCACGATTTGAGTCCAGGTGCGTTTGTTCATGTCATTGAAGTCACCGACTTGATGTCACAAGTTTATGCGTGTGCATTGTGTATTGATTTCATTTCGCGCTAATACGTAAAACGCTTGAGCCCGCTACGTTTTGAAAGCAACATTATATTTACGCATTTTCTGTGCCCATACGACGCATTCACCACATGGGTTATTTGCTCGCGGCGCTCCATGACAAGCACAACAAACGTCAGCTAATAAAACCATTCATATTTTGACGGCGGTCTGAAGCAACTGCCCACATGGCACGCCTGGTCACGCGTCGCGACTGTTCGTGAGGCCGACGCCGCGGTGCTGCAGGTGCTGTCGGTGGGTAGTCTCCGGCCGCCGGAGGTGGTGTACGAGTACGTGGTCTCGCTGGGCGAGGTCGAGACGTACCGCTGGCAGCTGGCCCACCTCTGGACCGACTGCGACCGCGTTTGCCACGGTGAGTCGGCACCAGTTCCGAGAACTGCCGCCGCGAATTTAGTGGCGAACCGGCCATTCTCTATGAGCCTATGTGCTGCCATCTGTCGGCCTGTGTGCTGCCGTCTACCGGCGGCCCGTCGCCATCTCTCGATAAAGGTTCTGTCACCTGCCGGCTGACGTTGTTCCCCCCCCCCCCCCCACCCCTCCACAGGCGTGCAGTACCGGGAGCCGGAGTGTGTGCGCACCTCGGATCTGGTCCGCGTGGCCGACAGCCACTGCAAGGCGGCCGAGCGGCCCCGGCGCCGCCAGATGGAGTGCAACTCCCACTGCGAGCTCAAGTGAGCGCAAGCTGGGCGCCGCCGGGTGTCAGACACGCCGCCGGGTGTCAGACACGCCGCTGCGGTCATCAGCCACGCCGCCGTCGGGCGTCAGACACGCCGCCGCCGGGTGTCAGACACGCCACCGAGTGTCAGACACGCCACCGGGTGTCAGACACGCCGCCGGGTGTCAGACACGCCGCTGCGGTCATCAGCCACGCCGCCGCCGGGAGTCAGACACGCCGCCACCGGGTGTCAGACACGCCGCCGCCGAGCATCAGACACACCATTGCGGTCATCAGACACGCCGCCGGGTGTCAGACACGCCGCGGCCGTGTATCAGACACGCCAACGCGGTCATCAGACATGCCGCTGGGTGTCAGACACGCCGCCGGGTGTCAGACACGCCACCGCGGTCATCAGACATGCCGCCGGATGTCAGACACGCCGCCGCGTGCGCTGCCATGTGTACGGTCGACAGGGAATTTGGTAGGATATAAAGAGCCATGCTCATGGTTTGATATTGTCATGACACGGCTGTGGGCATCCCGCTGATGAGGTTTGGCTTTAGGTTTAGTGACCTACATAAGCGCACATCGTCACGAGCACAGACCAGCGTGGTCATGTGCACGCAGAAGACGCTTCCTTGGTGTCTCCTGCCGCTTTCCTCTCCCGGCCACCGCCCTCCCGCCCGGCCACGGGCCGCCTGACCCTGCCGCTCGACTGCGGGCCGCCTGACCCTGCCGCCGGCTCTGCCGCAGGTGGGAGGTCACGCACCGCTCCGAGTGCTCCTCGGCCTGCGGCCCGGGCATGCGCACGAACGTGGTGCGCTGCTTCCAGAAGTTTCCTATGTACGAGATGTCGCCGATCGGTGCGCAGTACTGTCGCCAGGTGGCAGGCCGGCCGCCAGACACCGAGCCCTGCCAGGGCACCTGCGAACACACGCGCTGGCGCTACGGCGAGTGGTCTCAGGTAAGGGAGAGAGGGCCGACAAGGCTCCGTAGGCGAGGCGGCCGTATCAATCAGCTTCTTTGATGTTCGTTGTTTCTGTCAGTCGCCTTTCATGTAGATAGCGCGCGCGGTGAACCGGAGTGGGCAAAGTGAGGCTTGTGGATCTTTGACGATGTGTTCAGTCTTTTGATGCTGATAGCAACTTTACTTTGCCAAAGTCTCAAACGAAATAGGGCCAGTTCAAAGTCCTGCCGCACCGAACGTGCACCGCCGCGTGATTTCAGCCACAGATGTGGAGGTGCAAATGACGTTTGTGGGTACCAATCACGCCGATATACTGACGCTGACCCGGTGCACCGGCCAGCGCGGTGGCGGCCCGATGGCGGGATGTCAAGCCCCTACGTCCCACCACTCGACCGACGCCGGGTGTCAGGTGGCTGACATCGTTCGCCGGCAGTGTTCTCGGTCCTGCGGAGGGGGCACGCAGAGACGATCAGCCAACTGCGTCAGCAGCGAGGGCCAGGAGCTGGCCGAGGCGCGCTGCGAGCAGGCGGCGCGCGACACGCAGCGCGAGTGTAACAGCGTTGAGTGTCCCCAGTGGCACGTGGGCAACTGGACTGAGGTGAGGTCCGAGCTGGGAGGGTGCCGGTGCCGTGCCCGCCGCTCAGCCGCTGTCATGGCTCCCAAGGCTGCACCGGAGTGGCGCGGCACGTGCGCACTTGCTGGTCTCTGTCGTGTCTAACAATGCCGCTGAAGTCATACGTCGCGTATTGTTTTGTTCGCCAGCTTCTGTCATGTCTGTCGATGGCGTAAGAGTAACACTCCGCGTGCGTGTTCACCAGTGCTGCTGTCCCTACCGAGTCCGCCGGAGTAGCACCCGACGTGCGTGTTCACCAGTGCTCCTGTACCTGCCGAGTCCGCCGGAGTAGCACTCCACGTGCGTGTTCACCAGTGCTCCTGTCCCTACCGAGTCCGCCGGAGAAGCACTCCACGTACCTGTTCACCAGTGCCCCTGTCCCTACCGAGTCCGCCGGAGTAGCACTCCACGTACGTGTTCACCAGCGCTCCTGTCCCTACCGGGTCCGACAGCACTCCACGTGCGTGTTCACCAGTGCTCCTGTCCCTACCGAGTCCGCCGGAGTAGCACTCCACGTGCGTGTTCACCAGTGCCCCTGTCCCTACCGAGTCCGCCGGAGTAGCACTTCACGTGCTTAATGATCAACCACTGTCATGTCCGTCGAAGCGGCAGAGCTACCTGAGCCGATCCACGCCTGACATGTTTTGTGAAGCGGTCGGGGTAACGCCTGCCGCCGCCGGCAGTGCTCCCGTACGTGCGGGGTGGGCCAGCGTCTGCGGCCGCTCTGGTGCTGGCAGCAGGACCGCACCGTCGACGACGCCCTCTGTGACCTCGGCCAGGCGCCGCCGCGGGTCGAGCCGTGCTCAGGCGAGCCGTGCGCTCAGTGGGTCACGGCCGAGTGGTCAGAGGTGGGTGGAGAATGGCGGGTGCGGCTGCCCTCATGGGAAGGCAAGGGTGGCCAGGTGAAGACCCTGGTTATATACTGGGTGTTAGGTGCTGCCTTGCTTGCGTAGTGTCTTTGAGGGTCCTCGCTGTTGTCTTCCAGCTTTCCGCCAAGACGCGGATCCAGCAATATTAATCTTTTTGGAGGAACATTTGGTGCAAACAGCAGACAAGTTCGTACAGTTCTCGAATCAACCGGCTAACGAAGCTACTCTTTATTGGTTAAAACCGACTGGCAGTAAATGCTGGTGGACCCAGCTAGCAGAAAAAGACAGAAAGACTTCAATGCAGCAAACTACGCTTCGACAAGCTGATGAGGCGTCATCAGGGCAGGCTCAACAATATCATGACGTAATAGCATCTAAAAGGCTGCAACACTGTATATTGTGACCTTTGACTGGAACCACAGCGAGGCTGGTTACGGAAGAGACAGTCATCGCAACAGCTATGAGTGGCCAGAGGCTGCTTTACGCAGGTTTAGAGGCTGATTTTTGCGCCAATTAGGATACAAAGACAAACGCCACACATTGCACCCTTTGGTGTCGAATGAGCAAACAACTACTGGTCCTTGAACCACTTGAGAAACGTTGTGACGTAACATAATGAAGACAGGAACGTGTCAGTTTTCTGAGATTGTACCAGCTAGTCTTGTTTTTGCCGGTACCAACCATCGGGTGATCATGGAAAACACTTTACCAGTAAAAACCGACTTTAACCAGACATTGGCCGAAACTCGGCTGAGCCACCTGCAATGTCAGCACTGTGCTCGGTACTGACCATTCCAGTTGTGAGGATATGCCCATGTTTCGGAAGCTCAGGAGGCACGTGTGATGCGGCCGATATTACTCACACATGAAGAAAGGTCGTAAAACCATCCCAAAAGGCCGCCCAACGCTGGAAAGCTGATGTGCAGGGTGAATGCTGCTTGCGCCGTGCTGCAAATATTTTGGTGCACTGCTATATGAAAAGATATGGAGCCAGAAGGAGGGTAAGAATACTACAAGTTCATTCTGGCGTATCTGTATTTTACTATGAGAACTGCGCGCGCCTCAATCTGTGGGGTCGTGATAAATGCGCGCGAAAATTACAGAGCCGTGTGCATTCATATGGTCGACAGCAGTGTTTTGCTGCTTGGCATGCACCCGCTCACCTTCGCCAACCTCCGGCAGTGCTCAGTGACCTGTGGTGCCGGGGTCAGCGTGAGGTCAGTGACCTGCAACTCGGCGGAGGGCGGCCCCGTCAGAGAATACCTCTGCAATTCCCCACGACCATCCGCCAACCGCAACTGCGTCAGGCCGGCCTGCCAGCCCGGACAGCCGAGCACGACGGTGGCGCCGCCGCGGCCCGAGCTGGAAACTAATCTGATCGCCACACACCGCGCCAACGTGTGGCGCTGGGGGCGCTGGTCTAAGGTGACGTATCACGCAGCAGGGCGTCACTGGTGACGTCAGCCATCAGGCGCTCTGACAGGCCATCTAAGTTCGCGGCCTTATCAGTGCGGGCCGAGGATAACTTTGTTTTGTACCGTGCGGTACCATCGCGTTGCAAAGACAGAGACGCAATATTTCAAGCACTCAACTAACGTGCTTTCCTTCGCTGGCATCGTACATTACGTTCGTTTTTACCAACAGCAATCCGGATCAGGTGCCTCTTAAAAGTCTTCTAGCTGCACATGTAAAATGACTATCAGGTGGCCATCATTCTGTGGCCATAAATCCCTTCACATCAAACGACGGAATCAAATCACATCGCGGCACAGTCGGGTAACCGCCGTGCAATGGGTGGTCCTCAGTGCTCACGGCCCTGCGGCGAGGGCGTGCGGTCTCGCTCCGTGGTCTGCTACAACGCTCGCACGAGCCAGCCGCTGGCCGACGACGCGTGCCGGCACGTGGAGCGGCCCGTAGCCACCGACCAGTGCCGAGAGGCCTACTGCGGCGTGTGGAACACTTCGGCTTGGTCCGACTGTAGCGCCTCCTGCGGGCAGGTGGGTGACCTCCGCGGGCCCGTTGGTGGTCCGGGTGCCGCCGCCTGCAGGTGTGATGGCCACCCCGTGTATGGCCGTAGTCGTGTTGGGATGTTTTACGGTTGCATTTGCACTGACCAACAGCTGCGTCCACTCATTGAAACGACTAGTAATGCACCTGTCTTGATGACATAGACACACAGAGAACAGGATTCATGGATCAAAATGATTGGGGAGGATGCGCACAAGAAGAATAATGACCAAAGGGAACAAGGATGTGGGAACGGGAGCTGTGTCACGCATGATCGTCCAGCCCGCGAGGCGGCCGTGGCGCGCCGCTGATGCTTCCGCGCGCCTCCGCCAGGGTCTGGAGCGCCGCCGAGTGATGTGCCTGTCGGCGGCGGCCGGCGCGCCGCTGCCGGCCAGCGAGTGTGACGCGCTGACGGCGCCGACCGCCGAGCGGGCCTGCCGCAGCCAGCGCGACTGCACGGGAGGCCGCGAGCCGGAGCGCCACTGGATCTCCGGCGCCTGGGGGCCGGTCAGTGGTCCAGTGAGAGGCTCCGGCTGACCGCAGGGCCAGCACCTGTCTCCGGCTGTTCGAGGAGGGGGGGGGGGGGGGAAGCTGTCCTAAGCTCCGCGGAGGGATGGGCTTCCGGACTGGCAGTCAGCGCTATTTGTGGCCAACTATGATCACTCACTGCCCTCCCATCCCCAAACCCCCCGAGACACACCTCCAACTTCTGATGCTCTCCCATGTCTGACCTCGTAATGCACGTGGCAAACCCGACCACCCGCTACCCCTGACTCTCAGTATGCTCAAGACACATCTCACGTCTCTATCAGCTTTGACACGTCGGCGCACCGACACCCCTGGCAGCCTCTGCCTGTGCCGACACTTTGATCAGTGACCCAGCTGACGCCATAGTTTCTCCGGCCGCGGCCGTCGGCCACCGCTGACCACCCGCCCCTGGCCGTGTTGCAGTGCTCCCGCAGCTGCGGCGGCGGGTTCCGGCAGCGGCTGGTGCTGTGCCGCGGGCAGGAGAAACCGTCGGCCATCACTGACCTGCCGCGCCCGGCCGTGTTGCAGTGCTCACGCAGCTGCGGCGGCGGGTTTCGGCAGCGGCTGATGCTGTGCCGCGGGCAGGATGAGCCGCCGGCCACCGCTGACCACCCGCCCCTGGCCGTGTTGCAGTGCTCCCGCAGCTGCGGCGGCGGGTTCCGGCAGCGGCTAGTGCTGTGCCGTGGGCAGGAGGAGCCGCCGGGCTGCGATCCCAGCGAGCAGCCCACCCCCACCGAGCCCTGCAACCCCGAACCGTGTCCCTCCTGGCAGACGGGAGAGTGGGGAGAGGTAGGCACCCGTGCCCGGACACGGCCAGATGGTGGACCGCGGCCGGGTGTAATCCGTGGTCGTGGTACGAGCTTTTTATTGGCCATATTATGCCATATGACGTCCAGAAGGGGACCATGGTCTTCTGATAACGTCCCTAAACATTTCGCACAGGAGCGAATTTTGCACGTTGTTCATAAACAGGGATATATGCTCCGCATTTCAGCAGCCCATGTCATCCTACCACTGGCTATTCCCTCTGATCAGGACGGCAAGGTTGTAACGGCTGAACCAACTCTAGCGCAGCTGGGTTCGTTGGTCTGACTGCTTGCAATTGCCGGCTGTGCCAAACTGTCACTGGCCTGAACTTACACTGTTGTCCGACATCATGCCCTCTATCCCCAAGCACAACATCTGTGGTCCTTGTCCCTGTAGTCCCCGTAGTACACCAGCCTCCCGTGATTCGCCAATGCTGGCTTCGTCTCTGTTCTGCAGTGCAGCGTCAGCTGCGGCCCTGGCACCCGTCTACGTCAGGTAGGCTGCCGGAACGCGCAGGGCGCCTCCCGGCCGGACCACCAGTGTCCGGCGGCGGCGCGGCCCGAGGAGGTGCTGCCCTGCCGACAGGCCGCCTGCCGGCCGTCGCCGCCGCCCGCCGGCCAGCCGTTCAGCTGGCGCGTCTCAGCCTGGTCCAAGGTGAGCCCCCGGTGGACCGGCTTCGCTGCCGCTGCCCCGGCCGGCTGCATGGCTGGCGCTCGCCTGGCACCGCCTGCAGGGAGCCCACGGGCTGCGAGGTGGTCCGTCCTGGAGGAGCGCTGAGGGCTGCCAAACTTGGGAGTGCCGTTTTCTCGAGCACCGTGCAGTGCCCTGGCTGGTTATGCGCGGTGCGTGTCTGGCTTGTCGCGAGGAGTCCATCGTTTGTGGCCTTCTATTTCTGCTTGCGAACATGTTTGTTTCGAGAGTTTCGACGCATGCTTTGTTGATATCAAGCGTTTTAAACTCATTTCGCAACTCTCGTATCTTGAGCGTACTTTGCTTCGCGTTGTGCCCACATGCCACGAACCATTTAAGCCACTTAGACATGAACGGGGGCCTTGTGCAACTGCTTGCCTTCAATCAGCCGACTCCACGAGTGCGAGGCTGATCTGTGTGGGTGTGCTTGTCATCGCGGGGCTGCCCAAAGCCGCCCGGCTTCCCTCCCCTCTCCAAACAATCAGCGCAGGGGCTGAAACCCCGCGGCCAGCAGGCGCCGAGCAAGCCGGCGCGGGTTCGCTCGGCTTCTGCTTGGGACGCCGACGGCTGCCATGGCAACGCTGCCAGCGCTGCCCGCTGTTCGCAGTGCTCGAAGCGGTGCGGCACCGGCGTGCGGGTGCGCACGGTGTCCTGTGTGGCGGGCAGGTCGGGCGCGCGCGTGCCGAGGGGCCACTGCGCCGGCCGGCGGCCCCGCTCGCGCCGACCCTGCCGCGCAGCACGCTGCGCTCACCAGTGGGTGGCCTCCGGATGGTCAAAGGTGACGGCTGCGGCGGCGCTGATGTCGCGCTCCGGCCGCGGCGCGCGAGTGCCCGGGCGACGGCGGTCGCACCGGTCTGGCCGCGCTCTTCGTGTCTCCGCCCGTGTCGCAGCTGAGGGCGGGGCTTCGAGAGACACTCTAACGCTGCCGCTGTCCGCTCTCGCTCTTCTCTTCACTCTCGCTCTCTTCGCCTCTTCTCTCTTTCTCTGTCGTTCCGTCCACTGGCGGTAACTCTGCTGACTCTGTCCATGGCATGGAAATATGTATGTGCTTACGCCTTTAAAACGAATCACTCTATGCCGTCTTTTAAGAGGAGTCCTTTGCGAGCGGCTCGCGCATGACACGTCTCTGGAAAACCCCGAACGCGAAACCAAAGTTTTCTTCATGATGTATTCCTCTTAAGTTTGAAGGCATTCTATTTGCCATAAATAAACGTAGCAGTAGTGCAATTCGGAGAAAATAAGTTTCACTGTCGACTTTCAGAAAATGAGTTCTCACCTAGACGAGGCACTTCCTCGGGGCAACAAGCTTTCTTCATGAACCTCGTTCGCATTGTTCCTGATGTACTTCGTGCATGATCATTCTATTCCATGGGCGACTACGTTATCCCTGATCCTAGGTACATTTCTTTACTGGAGGTTGTCCATACAACCGGCAATTAAGCTCCCAGAACCTTGAGCTTGTGCATAGTGCCAGCTAGATCGAATGGATACATATACAAGTGTGCATACAGTTAGTGATACGACTGCTAGGCGGCTTATTAGGCATATTTATGTCAACCACTAATAATAACGTTGTCCACGGATTTGGTTTCATCTGCTTAGATTGTTTTTCAACAAACCACTGAACCGTGCAGACGCTGTGACGCCAAAGACTAGCAACTGCGGCCAGGTTGTGATTCAGATTAAAGTTCCGAACTTTTGGACGCCCCTAGCTTTCTTTTGAGATCAATTTTTGACGAAGCTGGCTGTAAAAAAGCCATTCTTAAGGTCAAATCGCTTGCAAGCGTCTGCACGGCTTCCGAATTGCTCCCGTTTAACCACCGCCTGCAGCGCATCCGCGACGGTGGCTCCCTCGTGGCGGTGGCGCGCACTAACAGTCAGCGCTGTTGCCACGGCGCGGCGGCAGTGTTCCAGGTCGTGCGGCGCCGGCGTGCAGTACCGCCAGGTGACGTGCCATCGCACCAGCGTGCTGGGCTGGCCGCTGCCGGAGCCGACCGGCGGCGGCTGCGCCGAGCGCCGGCGGCCGGCGGCGGCGCGCCGCTGCTGGCGCTCCTGCGGCACACGGTATCGCTGGAAGACCGGGCGCTGGTCCAAGGTATTCGCTGGTGGCCCGCGGCTGCCCGGCTGGCCGGCAGCCTGACCGGCGGCCGGGCACTGGGCGGCACAGCTGGTGGTGCCACCGGTGTGCAGCCTCCCCTCCGTCCGCTGCCCTCGCTTGCGCTTCGTCAGTGTCCTCTGCTTGGTCCACTTCTGTTTTCCCTTTTCTCTGTCTGTCTGCTGCTGTGCTCATCCTCCTCGGTCCGCTTTCTTTGCGCTTTCTTCGCGCTTGCCAGAGGGGCTCCGGCGCGCGCATCGGCGTCGTGTTGCTATTCCTGTATTTTCCCGTGTGCAGAGCACCCACGGATGCGTTCTGCGATCGGCTCGCGATGATTATTATGCGTTTCGAGCTACAATCGCGTAATACTTCAAAGACAACTAGACGTCTAACAGCTTCTTTGTAAAGGTCCTCAGCAAGCTCTGCTTGCGCATCAGTCACTTGAAACGCCAGCATCAACGCCCTGCTGCGCGGGCGACGCCCAGCGCGGCTGCATGCCAGCCCGGCCTGGCCCGCCGCTGACGGCAGCGCCGCCGTGTGTTGCAGTGCACCAAGCCGTGCGGACGGCACGGTTACCGGTACCGCAAGGTGCGCTGCGTGAACGGCTCCGGCCGGCGCGTCTCGCGCCGCCAGTGTGCCAAGAGGAGGCGGCCGGCCCGCCGGCGCCGCTGCAACCGGCGTCCCTGCGGTCCCGCCAGCTGCGCGCAGGTACGGCCCGCGGCCCGGTGCCGCCCGGGGGTCATTGTGACACGCCCCCTGCGGGGTCTCAGCCCTGGAACCCGCGGCCCAGTACCGCCCGGGAGACCGCGTGACGCGCCCTCTGCGAGGCCTCAGCCCTGGGACCCGCGGACCACCCGGGGGTCAGCGTAACACACCCTCTACGGGGTCTCAGTCCTGGGACCAGCGCATTACACGCGGCGTTCTCACGCGGTCTTAAGGTTACGTAACAATATCCACCGTGGAGGGAGGTATCACGCCTAGGCACGTCTGATGTACGAATAATTCACATGATAGGCCAGGCACACCCGATTGCGCGTGCGGCGCCGGATGTGCCCTATCTGTAGCCACAGCAACGTGCTGGTGCAATTCATGTTGCTCACAAGTGTATTGTGGGTGCTCGTATAGAATGCGCAGCGTGCGGGTACTATTGGGATAGCAGCACAATACACATGTCTACACCCTCTGCATCGCTATAACACTTACAAAAAGTTGCCTGACGAGTCCTCACCAGGCACAGCTTTCCCGGAGCCGGGCGTTGTTCAGTTGGTCCGGCCGCCGCCAGGTGCGCGAGAACAGCAGCCAGCCCACGGACGGCGAGTACCGGCTGGTGGTGGCCGGCCACAACGCCTCCATCTACTGCCACGGCATGAACACCAGCCAGCCGCGCGAATACATCACCCTGCCGGCGCGGCGGCGCGGGCGCTACTCCAACTTCGCCGAAATCGACCCCAAACGGTGCGGAGGGGCGCGGCTGGTGGCTCGGCCGAACCTCGGATCCAGGGTCTCGGGTTCGAATTCAGCTATGGATGAAACTGAAGAAATGAAAAAAGGTGTTCAGCTTTGAATGATATGCTCGGGCATATCGGATCAGTGGGCTTGCGGTTGCAGTGCTCATGTGCTACGAGTTAAATGCCCAGACAAATACAATAAACGTTAACGTAGCGCAGAAATTTGGTGAAGGGTCCAAACTTGTAACATGTCTGGTGATGGCGCCCCAAATGTCTTCGTCTACGGACTTACCAAAAAAACCCCCTGAAAAACCAAGAGGTAGCTCACTCCTGGTTCTTTTATATTTCTCGATTGATTCTAGACCTGGGTGTTTTTTTTATTATTCTGGGTGTTTTTCTGGTTCAGGAACTAGAATCTGGTTTTCGGAAAAAAACAATTGAACCAGGCGCATATCTGAGAAACGGTAACGGAGGTGAACCTGTCACAACTCTACCTGTGATCGATTGTTTTCCGGTGTCTGGTTTTCTTTTCTGATTTTTTTTTGCTTATTATCCGCTGAAATGCCTTCTGATGCGCACGGCATACCTTGGCAGAATGACGAACCCGTGCTCAGCCGTCAATACGATTTGGTGGATTCAGCAGCCGTCAATTGCTGACTGTTCTCCTTAGTCGATGACTGGTGGACGGTTGCTTGTGATGGGATTCAGCTCTCTACTGCCACCGTCCAGAGCTGCAGGGCACCTCTCAGCCTCAACCGACCACCTCGTCGGCAGGCTGATGCAGTCGTCCAGCTGTCCCTACAACGGCAGTCGTGTGCGGCCGTCCCAGTGTGACGCCTGCGTGCGCACGCGCAGCCCCCACTCGGGCATGACCGTCTTCAAGCGGGTCCGACTCAACATCACCTCACTCAATATCATAGGTATGGACCAGGCTTGAGTGGTGGAGACGTCAGTCACGAGTGTTCGCGTGCGGTCGACTCTGTCGCCACGACCGCGAATATCCCGGGCTTTGGTCTCTTGGTTGTCACATCGTGACTGTGAACCTGTCCTGCGCGCGGCGCGGCGTTTCATACCCGTCCCGAGCCTTGCGCTGGCTTTCACGGAACCGAGGCACATCTCGCCAACTGAGGACCAGTTCTTGACACGCTCCCCATGACTGCGCCCTGGTCGTGACGGCCCAGCACGTGGACGCTCCTGCCCGCAGGCCGGAACTTCACCACACCTCCATGACGATACCCTGGCTACTCCAGCCCCGACAAACACCTGCCTGTCTTTTCCGCAGCTCGGGACGTCACCACACCTTCATGACTGTACCCAGGCTGCTCCAGCCCCGACAAACACCTGTCTGTATTGCCCACAGCCCAGGACTTCACCACACCTTCATGACTGCACCCTGGCTGCTCCAACCCCCACAAACCCCTGTCTCTCCAACAAACACCTGCCCGTCTTGCCCGCAGCCCGGGACTTCACGTTCGCCGTACAGGTGCGGGGACGACATGTCAGCTTCGGCGAGTCCGGCGACTGCTACTCCTCGGCAGGATGCCCGCAGGGCCGTTTCGGCATCAACCTGGCCGGCACCGGCTTCAGGCTGGCTTCCAACCTCACCTGGGTCGGCATCGGCAACAAGCCCACCGTCCGCGTCTCACTGAACAAGGTCCGCCGCGCCCCCTGCCGGACCGACGAGCCCCCCGGTTGCCGATATTTGGCGGCGTGGGAACTTACAGAATATTGTGGACGCACGAGCACTTCTCAGCGCTGACCATGCAGATGCAAAGAAGCAGGACGCCATAGGACTGATGCAGATTATTGACTTACCTTGAGGACTAGCGTTGCGCTGTATTGGTAAGCAGTCGTCAAGTAATGCGTGACAAGCCGGCAAAAAATCGAGCTGAAGATGAACACGCTGTACTGCATTACTTCACTGTGCATGGGACCAAGAGCGTCCACGTCAAATAGATGATGGCCTGTGGCAAAGTGGAGGTTTACCATCAATGTATTTCGGCCTTTACGTCAGAGGTTGTTTTGCTCTCTGCGTACAAAATTAGGATGTAATTTTGATAAAAGATAGGACATGACATCTAGATCTGGCATCAGTGACAGCGGGTGCAATGAACTGGCTGCGATGCGCGGCTCCTTCTCATAAAACTTCTACTCGCCGCTGCTGGGCGCTAACCAGCTGTTGACGGCCGTGCGGCACGTGCCGGCAGGCACGGACAGGCGCCAGGGGCCTGTGCGGCGGCTTCTGCGGCACGTGTCGGGCGAACTCGCCCGGCGGCGTGCAGCTGGAGCCGGACCCCTCCTGAGCGAGGCCACCGCGCCGGCAAGGTAAGCACGAGCCAAGGCATGCACGCCCCGAGGGCAGGTGGCGGTGCCTCCATCAAACCGCTACCACACATGACGACTCATGAGACGCGTGGCCGCGCGAGGGGCAGCACGTGGTTTATGATATTTCTTCCGTGCGCTGGTCTTAGCTATGACAAGGAGCTGCGTGCTCTGGTATGCTTTATCACTCGCCTAAATTATTATTTCGTCAAAGGGAGCGTTCCACAGTTACATGGGGTGTTGAACTGAAAAAGCCACCCTAGAGACCTTTTGGTGCAGTTAATCATCCCGCCGTTCTTAAGAGCTAAGCCCCGCTAGTTTCTTAGCTACACGCCTGCGAAAAGGGGGAAAGTTTATCGGGAAGAGTGTTTCGGTCACCTTGGCATTCGTGACATCATGACAACGCCATTCAAATCCTACCATTCATAAGCCATGCAGTGATCAAGGCAAAACAAGATGGAATTGTCAAGGCTTTCATGGCTGGCGTTCGTTGAGGGTGATTTCCAGATATAACGACCGCCAGTTGGCTCTCAGTCGATGTTGTTCAAGGTACGGTAACATAGTCAAATCATGACGCATTGGGGAGCATGTGTACTAAACAGAGAATTTGTGCTGTCTAGATAAGTCTTTTCCATTTATTGTTATAAGTGAACATACTTCCTCATACATGATACTTGCTTCATTGTCTTCAAATGTGAATAATTCCCTTTAACCACCTGGTTATACGCGTGGAACTGGTCATTCGGCTTTCTGGATGACCATTACTTCTCGGCGTCCAGGCATTGCCTAGACGGCGGCGTGTGTCTGACGTTGTTCCCCTGCCAGCAGGGTCGCTGCGTCGGCTCCATCGCACCTCATCTGTACATACATCGTGACATCCGTCTCTGCTAGTCATGCCATCCGGTCGTCTCGCAGACGTGGCAACATCTGTCGAGTGACCCGTGAACTCAAATGATCAAGAGTGAGCCACAGCCGGCGCTGTCTCTCTTCGCGAGACCACCTGGTGCCAAGGATTCTGGGCGAGGGCCAGCCGTTTGTTTGTTTCTGTTTTTATACAAACAATATTCTCCACTGCTTTCCTGGTGTGCAGTGACATTGTAGCATCAACCCCGGCAGCTGTCTTCACCGTCGCATTCATAAGCGTGGTTAGAATCGTAGCGAATGCCCGTCAAATGAAGCATTGATCAGGCTCCGTTATTGCTTAACGCCGACGACCGCTAGACGTGTTTCGCCATCCTACTGCCACAAAGTGGACGTGCATTGCACAGGGTTCCCGAATACTGTAGACTGCCAAACCGCAATTGCCAGACTGCCGTACGAAGTCGCTGTTCAGTCTGTTGCGCTCGAATCTCAATACTTCTCACTGCCATAGTGTGGTCGTTCGACCAGGCTTCCTAACGTGCCATATTTGCCCGAGAGAGGATTGGAAAAAGGGCATGATACCGGTAGCCATTAAACTATGCAGCTGTATTTAGCTACGGGTGTGGTAATAGAGTGCGCCTTTAAGCTTAAGAAACTCCTGTTGCAAGAGGCTTGTTGACCCATTCAGGGTTCGCTGTGAAGGCAATTACATTGTAGCATCCACTGTTATTGCTTTGTGTCTTAAAACCGTGGTTATGTACATAAACACAGAAATGGTAGCCTTAATGAAAGGAGCACTGCATACGCACAAGCGCAAGCCAGGTTTTGGAAAGAGCGCAAATTGAGCAGCTGCATGGACGTTGGGCCTTCGGGCAGCGACCTGTTTTCTGGTCATCTGCACAGTTTTGCATTATTCTCGGCATTGCCTAATCCCTTCTAGTCTTCCTCTGTCACGCCCACCACATGACCGAAGCTCATCGCAGCTGCCGTGCTGTATTCTGCTGGCGCTCCCGTGACCGGCTGATGACGTCACTGGTGCTGCGGATCTGCTGGCCGGATCAGCGCATCAGCGCCAGCGTCATCGGTCGCTGGTTCTGGTGGATGAGGCCACTCACGCTGCTACGCAGTTTCTCGCCACGGAGAGGATCGAGCGCGCTCCAGTGTAGCTCAGCGTTGCTTTTTGCGCAGCGGTGCAGTTAGCTGGTGAATCGTGCCCGAGTCCTGCTCGGATGGGGACTTTTGGAGTGTGTGTTCGGTGTGTGTGGAGCGGCTAGGATGCGCACGTGTAAGGTCCGAGAAAAGTCCCCAACCATTGCTGTGAAGTGACCGCACTGATGCTCTGACCACCGTCTCGGCTGTTACACGGGGGCTGGGATTCTGTGGATCTGAAGTTGGATCTTGATATTGTGTAGCTGCAAGTCAGACCATGCCAGCAAGCAAAGGCGAGGCAAGGCATTTGTCATTAAACACGTCGGCTCGTAGCGCCGAGGTTGTAGAACGCTTCTCCGGGCATCTGTCCAAGAAAAAGGGAGATTTCAGAGCACCGTTCGTCAGATATTGCGTGTTGTCTGTGTTCAGTCTTGCAAGGGATGTAGTTTCACAAAATATGCTGATGATTTAAGCAGGGAAGAATGGCTAAACCTGCTCTCAAAATGCCAAGTTATTAATGAAAAAACGGAACAACGGACTTCTCTGCAGATTTCACCTAACTCCCTCTGAAGTTGGGGGTGGGAGTGGGGGATTTGAGCAGCTGAGAGAAGAGTGAACCAAGCTCCTAGTCTTACACTTTCTGCAAGGCCCCCAACCAGCTGGCCAATAGGAAGCCTTTACTTGGAACTCATCCGTTGACAGTTTAGGATTCTTAGCCCAACCCAGTTTACCGATTGGTCCCTCCTCTCGTCACGTGACCTCTGTTGACTGCAGAGATGTCCATCTGCGTCGTTACAGCCACCGTGCTTTCGCCGGATCCGGTGTATGTGTGTGTGTTCGCACGCGCGCGCGTTGTGCAGGTCGGTGACCGACGCTGGCTCGGCCGCGCCCCCGGTGTAAGTCGCCGTCCAACGGCGCCCCCTGGAGCCGTGCCCGTCTGCCAATACACGGTGCCTGCCTAGCCGACGCGCGTATCCGAACGTTGCGCAAGGTCGGCGGGTCGACGGACGGACGGTGGTGATGACCGGGAGGGAACCGAACGCCGCTGCCGGCATCAGCCAAAGTCGACGACATCAGCGAGTCAGCGGATGGAAGGTAGTGATGACCCGGAGGAAACTAATCCACTGCCAAAATCAGCCGACGTCACGGGGTTTGGCTGTATGCCGTTCCCATGGTTGCTAACACGCGGTGCTGAACGTTGGCAAGGTGGACAGACTATTCACTTGGACACATTATAGTAGCTATACTTGAACTAGAATGCCACGTATTGGTCTAGCCCTTTTAATCACGCTATGTTGTTCCGCTGCTGACTGTATCCCAGTGGTTTGCTCCTGTCCCTTGATATTCACCCGGCTGCTCCACGCCCCCCCCCCCCCCAGACTGAAAAAGTGGCAGAATGCTTTGCAGAGATGTTTTATTATCAAAGCTCATGCCAAGCGAACACTGTTGTGTGTTCCCTGATCCCAGCAAATGGTCACATGATCCAGTTCGTCGGATAACTTCTATAACCTTGTCGGACAGGGCTGCAAAGGGTTTTACAGCACTCTACCGTGCAGCAATCCGGTACCAGACGATGCTTTTTTCGGAACACTATTGGCCGACAATGTACATATATTGTACCAAACGTCTGATAAACCATGGGTACGGGGTTCGTTTCCTCGCGGTACCCGTCCTCCCTGTCAGGATGATGGGACATGCAACGCCATTTCGCTCCATTTCCGACTCAGGGGGGGGGGGGGAATGGATGGGTTGTGTCTCCCAAACAAGAATACAGTTCCCTATTTTCATTTATCATTTGCATTGATTTATTTTCGTAGGAAATCATTTTGTAGAATTCGAGTCCCCTCTTCCAAACTAAAGAAAGCGCGCCTAATCTGGGAGACAAATTGTTTGAAGTGCATTTCGGAGGCACGCACAGACATTTTTCTTTCTGCACCCCCCCCCCCCCCGTTCACCTCTACGCATTCCACAAAAATGCATACCTGTAGCCCTTACATTTGCCGACAACGTGGATCTACAAACACCTGAAAACAATATCACTTATGGTTTTTTGACGTCATCGCACAATTAGCTGGAAACGTTAGCGACCTTCCCTATCTTCGCTTAATCATTACTAGCGCAGAACACGCACTTCCTAACAAAGCGTCAGTCAACGGAATGTAGTACAAAGCCCATGCAATATTGGTATCAGGAGATGCACAAGACAGGTGTGAACACCTCTTTTTACAATATAATGACAACATGACGATTAAAAGCGTTTTAAAGGCAAGTCTGAGGCGCGAGTGGCAGTGTGAGAGGCCTACACCAGCGATGCTCAGGCACGGCAATCACATCTTACTTCAAGCCACTGTTCTTCTCAGCAACATGAAGCCACAGTAATGCCTTGACGCATGCGTCGTTCCAATGTCCTCCGTTGACCTCTGAAGGTACAGTTCATGCATTCACGAAACAAGGCATCCAGGTCGGCAGTGCTTTTTAACACTACTTCTAGGGACGCCCTCCGTGTTAGATTATTAGAAAAGCTGCGCAGCGCCTTAAGAAACTGACGATTTGTTACGTTCTTCAAGCCAGTCAGCTTCTCACCACATGAACACAACCAACGGCAAGCCCACAACCCTACACTGGACGCGCACTGAGCCCAACTGATTACCATGTAGCGAGTATTTGGGCCCATCTACCTCAAAGAGCACGACGCTGTAAAACGCCGCAGTGGCAGACTAATCACGTTCGTCGCAAGATGCTGTCTGCGGACAGTCACGATTCTTGCGGCTAGTAATAAGCCCAGTTATTTGGTATTTTATACTGTTTAGTATGCAAAGTGCGTGTTGGCTGAAACATCTGTGAAAAACACTGATCTGAGGGACATTGGAAAAACACTGTGCGATGATTGATCTGTGACGTCAGCACTGACGAAGTATAGCTTGTAGTACATTTCTGTCATCTTTAAAAAGCTATCCTGATTTCAGCTACCATGTTTGACAGCATCTTGTGGTTCAAGCTGCTTATACAGTGAAACGTCAACGTTTCGACTTGTACGCTATATAAGCTCACGCTGCAAGCGCTGCCGGGAACAGGCCAATCATAAGCTTTGAATTTCGTCTAACTGTGATGTTGTCTGACATGTTGTAATTTGTTTCATTTTCGCAATTTTGTTACCAATAGGATACCACAAGTATCTGTTTTTGTCATCGATCATGTCCGGTAAATCAGAAACAGTTGTCCCCGCTGGGCCATATAGTCCCATTCTGAAAAAGGACATAACGGACAATATATATATATATATATATATATATATATATATATATATATATATATATATATATATAGGGAGTTAAGGGAGTTTTTTTAGGGAGTCTAAAAGGGAGTTTTTGGCTTACCGTTGCCAAGATATTTCCGCGAACTTACGGGATGCCAAAACCGTGTGGGTGGCCCAATGAGGTGGGGAGGGTGCCATGGCATGATGGCCCGCGCCTCTGGATCCCCTTGTCAGCAGCAATCGACGAGTCCTTTAATTTTTAGAAACTTTTACCAGCAATGCTCCATGGCGCTATGACTCTTCGCGCAAAAGTATTTCGCGGGACGGCAAGTGATTTGGGGCTTTAAGGCGCACTCAGATGCTGAGTCTATGCAGCCATCAAGTGGTTTGAGCCTCGGGGGCAAAAAAGTCAAACGATAGAAATCGACAAAAGTTATGCGTCGTATATGCCACTCGATTATGAATGTTCATGTGGGTTCCAAGAAAGGCATTCAAGAACATCGTAAAACGAAAAGATTGATATATATATATATATATATATTATATATATATATATATATATATATAATCGAGTGGCATATACGACGCATAACTTTTGTCGATTTCTATCGTTTGACTTTTTTCCCCCGAGGCTCAAACCACTTGATGGCTGCATAGCCTCAGCATCTGAGTGCGCCTTAAAGCCCCAAATCACTTGCCGTCCCGCGAAATACTTTTGCGCGAAGAGTCATAGCGTCATGGAGCATTGCTGGTAAAAGTTTCTAAAAAAATTAAAGGACTCGTCGATTGCTGCTGACAAGGGGATCCAGAGGCGCGGGCCATCATGCCATGGCACCCTCCCCACCTCATTGGGCCACCCACACGGTTTTGGCATCCCGTAAGTTCGCGGAAATATCATTGGCAACGGTAAGCCAAAAACTCCCTTTTAGAAATCACACTAAGTTTCATTATAAGCATGCAGCAGGTTCCAGGGGAATCATACATGGCCACATAACCTTTCTTTTCAAGTGGTGATAAATCCGGGTACTCCACAAATGGCACACCAACTTTGTTTTCACGATGAACCAAAGTCCAGGGAATACCGATCTCAGTGGCGCACGCAGGGTGCAGGAGCACGTGATTATCTAGGTACTTAAACCACGAAGGGCTCATAGGGCACCACGGGACCAACTATCAAATCCGATTGAAGGGCCCGAAGGCCAGGCCGGAGGGCACATGAATAGACCCCAGCCCACAGAGCCAGGCCGTCAAATGCCAGTCAGAGGTCGCTTGCGCCGATCAGGAGCAGCCTGAAACTAGTCTAAGACTTCAGATTGGGTCCTAATTTACCATGAAAACAGATATTCAAGGGAAATCATTCAAAAGGAAGCGGTGGAAAGGCCCTGTGTCAATCAGGGGCCGCAGCACCGAACAAGAGCCCTCCGCCCCGTTTCAACGAGAGGTCGAAACCCAAATTCGTGCCTCTGAGCTATTTTTTGACCCCCTGCGCCGGTGAGACACCCTTTTGCGTCAGGGAGGGATCCTGTGTCCATTCGGTGCCAGACACCCTCGTCAGAAGACCTGCCACATCAGCCAGGGAGCTGGTGTCTGATATCCTTCTGACTCTGATGACCTCCGGATCGACTAGTGGGCACCGGTTCCCGTATTGCTAGAGCGACAGCGACGAAGGGCCCTGGGCTGGGACGAAAGAGTCCTTTAGCTCCTGGCCAGGGGATTTCACCTGTGCCATTTTGAGGTCGATTCCTTGAACGGGCTAGCAGTTACAGCAAGACGAGCAGTAAAGACTACACCCTCATGTCAATTTTGACATCAGGGACGGAAATCAAAGTAGCCGAAGCCCAGAGAGAAATCAGGATCTGAGGGTAGCTTGGGTCAACTTTGCTGGTTCAGCCTCTCAACCCATTTTAGAGAGTTATACCCTCGCATGTAACCTTAATCCGGAGCAACATGCGAACAAATTCACAAAAAAAACTGAGTTAACCGATGGCCGCGGTTGTAGCTTTCATGAAATCGCGCTGCGTTAGCTGACGAACGCCGGGTGGGGACGCCTGACGCGCGAGAACAGCCGCCTTGAAACAATGTTTCCGAAAATCTTTCAAAATGAGCTCGTACCGCTCAAAAATTAGACAGGGGCGTAAATTACACATTCAAATGCTGATAATGCTTTCTGAACAGATACAGAGGGCCAGCAACAAGGAAACAGTGATTTCATATTTACTTGTCTAGTTCCTCCACCAAATTCTGTCACATGTTCGCAGTGCTGTAAATGCTGCCCCGTTCCTGTCAGGAACATATGAAACGCACAGGTGAAACATGTCCCGGAATGCATTCTAAGCGTTCAAATTGACATCTTAAAGCGCTCAGAAGTGCTTCTTTCACAAACGTTGCCACTTTCGCCTTCTCACCGGCCTCCTCCTAATATCGACAAGGGACCGACGTCAAATAGCGTACGTAGACTGCAACACCGACCATCGAGGTTTTTGTTCTAGGGCTTGAGAGCTTGCGTGGTGCTAAGTTATGCAATTTTTATTCTTCTCGGTTCTGAACAAAGGTTAAAGACTCCAACATGAGCATGGTCACTGAGGAACCAGCTCAACTAGCAACGCTTTTACAATCAGCACAAGTTATGCGTGACATTGACATTATGGTCGTTTCATTTGTCATACATTCCAGCTTAAGTGGGTAAGAGCTGCTTTCCCTCTCAGTGGCACAACAGCTTGGGGCAATTTCTGCCTAAATAACAGCGGCTCGCAACACGTGTTCGGTGAACGGAGCGGGGAAAAGTATATTAAGAAGAGGGCATGTGCTTAAGCGTTTTGGGAAACGTTATGAACAATTTTCTGAAATGATGCGTGTAGGCGTGCCTATGTGCTGCTTTAAATTAACTAAAACATGCATGGTTTACAAAAAAAAAATTGGAATGCCCGAACGCTTCATATAAACTCGATGCAATGCCAGATATAAGTATTGTGGACAACATCCTCGTCAACGCATAAATATATGCAACGAAAAAGAAGACGCAGATAATGGCGAATTGTACGCAGATTTCACTTTTCAGTTCACAAGAGAGAGGTGTAACCGCATCTTCCGGCTTCACAAAACAAGTGCGTTAAAACGAAACCGATACAGACTTCCAGGCTTCCATATGTAATTGCTGCAGCTACGCACATGATGGTAAAAAGATGTGGTAAATGTAGCTTACACCCACCCACACACTGACCCAAACCCACACCTGCCCCCCCATATATATATATATATATATATATATATATATATATATATATATATATATATATATCTCATAATAGATAGCGAGAAACCAAGGACATACGTGGACTACATCCGAGCAGTTTATCGCACTCGTCCCTTCACGACGACTTGTAAAACTCTGGCCCCCCAATTAACTTGAGAAAGCGACACCAAGGGCGTGGTTGAGAATCCAACCCAGCACTACCATTTCCCGCTCCGCCGCAGACTGACGGGACCGAGCTGAGCGGATCAGTAGATACTGTACACGACGGTAGGTTATGTCGAAGAATGTAATCTTAACAGTTCAAAATGGCAACAAGTTCAGCAGCAAAAACGGAGGCCACTGACGATACCGCAATCCGTTCAGAGCCCCGCGACGACACAAATGGGCGTCCGGTACCCAGCCTTGTTCTGGATCCATCCGTGCCATCTGGGAATCGTCTGTGCGTCATACACGTGAGCTCATGAGATCCGTACCCCGGCTCAGCAACGGGCGCCAATTCCTTGAGAAACCTAAAGCGTGACGTGTCACACGTGGGAAGTAAGACTAACCACCACTCCGCATGTGGATGACTGCAAGGCTGTATTTGGCGCATGTCTGCACGAGCGTCGTGGAGCCATTCGCTTACACGTACATATAATGGTCGTGTTTTGCCTGCCCTTCCCAGGGAAAATAATTCCACCACATGGGACTTGAACTGAAATAGCCATCTTGAAAATCGTTATGTGCAGTTCACAGCCCTGTCCTTCGTAAGACCTAACTAAGCCCCTCTCGCTTCTGACCTACACGCCCGCAAAGATACGCAGATTATTTCGGGGGGACTATTTCAAGGTCATTTAGGCATCCATGACGTCGTAACACGCGCTCGGGTGGGGGGAGGGCAAATTGACCCCCTCCCGAAGGTTTGTCCAGAATGGTTTTCGAACGGTGCGGCGTAGCCGCGCCAAATTTTGCATAGCTGTAGACATTTGAATAGCGGATCGTTTGACATCAAAAATTTAGATGTACCTTGTAAGGTCGCTAACCTATGGCAGTTCAAACTCAGGCCATGCTTGCAGCGAAGGCAATTTCTAGGAAATCGTCCAGTCTGATACAATAACGGAGTGCTTGACGAAACCATACATCTCTGATGTGCTTTCTTAGGCACTACCAATATTGAATGAGCAAATTAAGTTGACCTAAGGTCAGGTATGAAGGTCAGACCAAGGTCACAAGCAACCTAATTCATTACTCTAGGGCTTGCTGTATGGAATAGTTTGTGGTGCTCATTTCGAGTTTATTGACAGCAGGAACCGCATTATACATCTTCCGTTGACTTCTTAGAGGTCAGAAAAGGTCATTGACCTAAGATTATCCGGGTCGACATTTTGTTTTATGAACATACTGCCTAGTGTAATCTTTGTCGCTTATTCAAATGCAAAACTCAGAGCAGTCTTGTATGATTTTGGTCACCATGACCTTCAAAAGGTAAAAAGGTCACTGACCTCAAATAGGCTTTTGATCTTCTGCTTAGAAACAGTTTCTTGGGCTCTGGGGACACTTTCGTAGCCAACCTAGAATTTGACCTTGTTTGACCTTATTTGACCTGAAGGTCATGGCCTAGGAGCCTTAGACTTTGACCTAAGTGAGTTCACATACAGGTCAAGACACCCTGCAAATTTGGCGCCTCTAGCTTTCTTAGTTCCCGAGATCTCAGGGGGGGGTTCAAATTGACCCCCCACCCGAGCGGGTAAGGGGTATCTACCCGGCCACCCTGGCGCGTTTTAATAGCGTGATTCAGATCCATCCCATCAGTCATGCAGCGTCCAAGGCCAATAGAGATGCCATTGTCCAGTCGCTCACACCTGGCGTTTGGGAACACGATTTCCAGATACAACGGCCATCAATTGGCTCTCAGTGTTGTGCAAGGCACGATAATGTAACCAAGCAATGAGGCGTTAAGGAGCATATTTACTAAGCAGGGAAGTTATGTCGTCTAGAGCAGTATTTCCAACTTTAAAGCACTCAAAAAGGTATAAATGAGTTCAGCTCATCATATCTGGTGCTTGCGCCAATATCTTCACGCGTGAAAAAGCGTGGAGAGCCCTGATGGCGCTGATGCAACTGTTCATCTCGTACTGACATGGATCGTAGTCGGACATGCTGGCCGAGATTTCCTTTAAATTGTGCTTTACTTTGCCCGTCAAAATGCTTGTATCATAATATAACGATTCACCAGTCTGTGGAAAAAATGAGTGCACACCACATGTTTACTTCGTCTAGACCCCCACGATCCGCAGCGAGAATATTTTTTTGTGACGAAGATATAAGAAGCAGGGAGGTGGCCAAAACCCGGGGACTTTTTGTGAGGGCGACGACGGCATGAACTTTCATTGGACACCGACGTGAAGAGTGTCTCCCGTGACTAAACCCTGAATTTACCCGTCCTGCTGGATTGAAGCATGACTCATGCAGATAAAACAGCGTGGGATATTGCTCCGACCGAACAAGGATTGGTCGGACAGCTTCGGTACCAGGCTGTAGCATGACCAACTAGTTCCATGATTACAACTTATCGTCACCACACATGGTGGACGCTAACGATTCCCGCTTCCCCTCGATTGCCAATGAACCGTTATTGGTTTCAGGCCACACGCTTCTTAGTTTAGTTTTACCCCGAAGCGAAAAAACTTTACGCCATAATGACGTCACGCTACCTTTAGGGCCGCGTCAAGACGGGCAAGAGCAGGCGACTATCATTTGTTGGGTTGGGGAAGTCGTGGGCGGCGGCCGGTCCTGGTAAAGGGAGGTATGGCTGCGACACGGAGACTTCAAAAGGTATTTAACAATACGTCAGTAGTCAACTTCTTTACGGATTTCTTGAATGCGTGGTGCTGGTGAATGTTAGTGGAACAGCGTGCTGTGCGGTCCATGAACAATCGGCTTGTGATGTGTGACGTTTTTGGCGCGCTACGTCCCCACATTTTTTGTGACGAGTAAGCCCCTGTGATATCACATACATTACAAACGTATTAGTGTTGTATTATTTGCATAAATCCACAATGTACAGATTTTAGATACTGCAATACTGTAGGCTATGACTTTGTTATACTTCTGTTTTGAACCTTGTCCTTCCCTATTGCACACAATGTGGAAATTATAGTTTCATGGATGCCTGAGAGGGTTTCAGCCAGCCTCAGTATCTGTCATCCAGCCTCAATGGCTTCTGCCAGTTTGTTTTTGCCTGTGATAACTGGTTGGAAGTGACTACTGCATATTGAAAGTGGCATAGATGGGCCATTTACCACTGAAAATTGGATAATGGGAACCACTGGTTACAAAACACTGGTAGAAATGTGCAGTAGCTGCATTGCTGAACATGTCAGCAAAAAGGTAAGTAAATATCAACAGCAAAATGGGAAGAGAAATCATGTCCCATCCATTGCTTATGCATGTATGTAGCACATTCAGGAAGCCATAGAAGTAGTTATGTCTGGCTGGGCATGTGTGACCATATGAGAGGCCACAAACTGCAAGGAGGATACATGCATGGTAATTGCTCTCTATGTTGTATCAGTCCATACAAACATTCTCTGTTGATCCCCATAATATAGTCATGAAGTTCTTAATCTGAGGAAAATTTGGTGGTGCCACTCATGAGACATCACCAATTCCAGACACTTGTCAGCAGCCCTGTTATCTCTTCAAACCAGTTGAAACCAGTTTGTGTGGAAATAATGTGAATCTGCTGAAAACAACCATTTTTCTAGGTTCTAATTCCTAGAAAATAAAATGCTCTCATTTTAAAATGGGTACAACTCTGGTTAACGTGCAAGTATGTTGCCAGGATTGTAGTAAGACAAAGGGATTGGTCTACAACTTTGGGTTAACTATACCATTGCAGAAAGTATTACCCTGAATGAGTGTTATCAACCAAGCAATGCAGCTAAGGATTGGAATAAACAGGAGCAGCTTCAATATCCATTTCTAGGAAGGTCAATCAGAGATTTTCCACACTAAACCATGGTAAAACTAGGGTATGGGTACATTATATATATATATATATATATATATATATATATATATATATATATATATATATGTATATATATATTGAATGGATAAGGGCATGCGGCTGGTAAATTCAGCCTAAGCTGTGAAAAAGAAATGACATCAAGCTAAACTTTAATTTGTCATGTTGTAAATGATTACTGTAGTTGATACATAATCTTAATCATTCAAAAATCGTAAGTCATCTTAGTTGCTCTGTTATGGAGAACAAGACATCCAAGATGGCCAATATTTGTGTATGAAATGTTGGTGTGACATGATGAAGAGGCAGATGCTTGTCCGTTGTCTGCTCCTGAAAATTGTAACTTATGATCACATATGGAGCACAAATGGCTAGCAGTTTTGGGAAATGCATCATGTTGAAATGCCTTGTGTGTTTCATATGTTTTAGGTAATGTAAGCTGCTGTTTTAATTGTGAAGTTTTATGTGTATTTCCTATGGAGATGCAAACCTTTGATCACATTCTTGGTACACTTTAATTGTTGAATATTTGAGCAGCTGTCAGATGCATCATAATGCTCATCTGTTGCAGAGAGAACACAATGCAATGCTATTAGTGCCTGTGTTGTATAACAAAATAAGTGTCATGTTGACTTTGATTGTCAGTGGTTCCCATTTTATTTGTGCATTGGAAACTAACTGTCCCTAAGTTCTCAAAGTTGTTCTCAAGGTCTCTTAAATTTGTGTTTCATTTGTCTTCTCAATAGCTCAGATGATAAGAGCCTTTTAGTCCACTTACACAAGGTGGAGTGGGTCAGAGTCACATCAGGTGCTTACTTTTTGCTCTTGATTTGAATGGCATGCAGCTGGTGGCAGTGGCTGTACCAAAGTCCAGGTAACATGACATATAATATGCATAACATAACATGGCATAATGGGCCACAGGGTTATTGCAACATGTTTTACTATCACCACCAGATTCTGCATTGGTCTAGGATTCTGCGATTAGATGGTAGGGGTTAGGGCTTACACTGCAAGTGCTGCTTAGCATAAAGTATGATCCCAGAAATTTATCCAGTTAAATTGTTTTAACCAAATCTTACAACAAAATATTTAAGAAGATTATGTGAAGAATGCATGGCAGGCTTAATTTGGCTGCTTTTGGGGTTGCAATGGGATTTTGTTCCAACTAATTGTGAATCAATTCTGTTGCAGGAACTGCAAGATATTCAGAAGTCAGGTATAAGGTCTTTCAGGGACATCCATGTGGATGAAAGCAATATTCTGATATGGCAAGGACTGATTGTACCTGTAAGTATTAAGGGTCTTAGGTACCAAACATTTCATGAGATGTATTGCTGTGCAAAGATTTGACTGTACTCAAGATAATTTTTAAACCAACTCAATGTATCTTTTTAACTACAAATGAGAGAAAAGAAAAGATGGTGGTAATGGCCTTATCCCTCATAGAAAGTCCAGGAAAATGGAGATACAAATGCATTGATATTTCAGCAACATGCCTTTATGGAAGCAAACAGCAGTAGTAAATGAAAATTGCCTGCCAATGATCCTACTCGGTTTTCAGTTTTTTTAAATCAGCGAGCCACAGTTTTTTACGGGCCATCAATAGTCCGGGGATCAAAGAAGGAGCACTTGCCAGCCATTACCACATCACAGTGCCTACCCAACTAAGAATTAGAATATGCAAAAATATGTGTACATGCAAACAAATTCAGGTAAACAGGCACCACATGTCACACTTCATTTAAACATGCAAGAGAGTTGAAGTATTTGGTCCATATCATGCTAGCATGCATCACACATCGTGCATCAATTATATATGCAAGCGATTTGAATAAAACAGGCATCGCGCATCACGCGTCAGGCATCACTCATACATGTGAGCGATTTTGAGCCAGCACGGATCACACATCAAGGCATTCATCACGTTTGTGTTCTCGACCATGATAAGCTATGTACGTTAAGGTCTAGTCGCCGACTTTTTATAAGAGTAGATAAGGACATAGTCTATGTCCGGAAGGAACATAGCCTTTGTCGGGGAGCTCATGCGCCCTCTTCGTTTGAGATAAAATGAACATCTGCGAGGCCCCCCAAAAAAACATAAAAACAAACCTCTCGATCACCATTCTTTGGCAAAACACGCGTAGGGTAAATCTAAAGAGGTGTAGACCCTATACCCCTTTTAGAGCTGAAAGTCATGTATGGAGCTCAACTGGACCATCCAGACGGGAAAACAAAAGAATGTGTTCTTGTAAAAAATCGGCGACCAGACCTTAACGTACAGGGCTCATTATGCCCGATTACGCGAACATGGTAAGTGCCTTTATGTGTGATGCGTGCTAGCTGAAAATTGTTTAAACGTGTGAGCAAGGCCTGGCGCGTGATTTGCAATGCCTGTTTACTTGAATTCGCTGTACGTACACGTATTTTTCGCGTATTCTAGTTCATAGTTATATATGCGCTATATCGTTCTAATGGCTGGCAATTGTTCCTTGTTTTATCCCCTGCATGCTGATAACCTGCAAATCTAAGGCTTGCTGTTTAAAAAAAAACTGCAAAATCGAGTAGGATCATCTGCAGACAATTTTGTGTTTACTACCAATAGTCGTGTCGATAAAGGCATGTTGCCGAAATACCATGCATCTATATCTCAATTCTCCTGGTTTGCTACGAGGAATAAGGCTATTGCTACTGTATTATGCATATGCATAATGCTCCTGGCAAGTGCACTTAACAATGTACGTAATAAATGAGTAACCTTGTATTGGTCCATGCCAGTCTTTGGGTCTCGCCTGTACCTCATCACAACAGTGGATGCTGGAGGGTGCACACATTGTCAGGGTGGTAGCTCTGCTTGGTTGGAACCAAACCGAACCAAATGCGAACCACTTGGTTGGACCCAAACCCACAGTGGGTGATGCGAGAATTCTGACTCTGCATGTGTTTTAATGGAAAAGTACCAACAGCGCTGAAATAGATTAACGGTCTAACATCAAACATGTATCACAGGAAAGCCCACCGTACAACAAAGGTGCCTTCCGGATAGAGATAAACTTTCCGGCCGAGTACCCGTTCAAGCCTCCCAAGGTCGTGTTCAAGACCAAGATTTACCACCCGAACATCGACGAACGGGGCCAGGTGTGCCTGCCTATTATCTCCGCCGAGAACTGGAAGCCGGCCACCAAAACGGACCAAGGTAGGCGCTGGTCGCCGGTCGGGCAGATTCGCGGCCGCCAGACTCTGGCCGTCGACCCGCTGCGGGGCGAGCTGCGGGCCAGGCCGGGCTGCGACGGACGCGCGAGCGGGGATTGCGGGTGTCAGTGTAGTTGTTTATGCAGTTGTTGATGGTATTCGGCACGTCCGTGGCGTAAGGACTGCAGCGTTTGCAAGCAGAGCACCCTATTCAGTGCGCCAAAGTGGCCTCGTTGCGAGGCAAGGAGGTCGGAGGCAGCTCGTCGATGTTGCGCGGAAGGTCGTTTGACAAGGTTCGACGGCCACGTCTCGGCGCCCGCGAGCTTCGAGCCTGGCATCTTGGCTCGCACCCAACCTTCGCGTTGCGTGCGACCGCTCCACAGAGCGGTGCATTATTGACAGTGCGCTATTTGTACACTGCCATTAGAGAGGCAGGGGGGGGGGAGGGGGAAGGGGAAGGAGTGTGTCGCCGCCGGCGCTGAGGTCCGCTTCGGTCACACTCTTGCCGGCCAGAATCAGATGGGCGGCGCGGAATGTTAACGACACCGTATCGACCCGCTTCGCCACACAACTGGCGGAGCGGCGCTGTCCGCGCGCGTGAGCGGACCCCGTCCCAGGAGGGCGCTCTGTTGTGGGGGCGGCGCGTGCGGAGCTCTCGGCGTTTCCTGGACCTGGGACTGGGTGACGAAGGAGTATGCGACCATATGTCATGTGGTGGCAACATCGCGCACCTCGCTGTAGGTGGTGTTTTGTTTGAGCCGAGCTTTGTCCGGTAGGTCGGCGTGCCGTCTTGTTTTGGCGATATGTGGGTAGCCGGGTGATGTCACGACGTGTGGTATTGTGGTGGCTTGTATGCAATTTTTAATGCTGCCTACCATTGGTCCTTCGTGGAATCTGGTCGCCTTTCGCCAGGTGAACTTCTTTAATGTGGCTTCATCTGTCCGAGCTTCATAAACTTTTACAAAAATGTTGGCTGAGTCTGCGCAAAGAATGACAGGAGCGCTTGCTTCGTTTTCAGCTTTTGGCAGCGAGCGTGAAGGGCATAGTTCAAGCTGCAATATTGGTTGATACGGGAGGTGCAATCGTCCCCGTTTGTGAGTTGGCCACCGCGCATTTGACCATAAACCGACCACTCGGTCAGATGCACAAGACCGTGACGTACTGACATCACCGGGTCGGGGCTGCGAACAGTGATCCCATAGCGCGGGTCGCGGCTGGCTGGCCTCCGGTTCGCGTCGTGCGAGCACAGGCCACCTGCGGGCGGCTGCGATGCACTGTCCGGCCTCTGACACGGCACGTCCGGCCTCCGGCAGTGATCCAGGCGCTGGTGGCGCTGGTGAACGACCCGGAGCCGGAGCACCCGCTGCGCGCCGACCTGGCCGAGGAGTACAGCAAGGACAAGAAGAAGTTCATGAAGAACGCCGAGGACTTTACCAAGAAGAACTCGGAAAAGCGGCCAGCCGACTAATGGGGATGGCAGGCAGGCCGCGCATGCGCCGTGGCGTCGGCGCCGCCCTGGCGCCAGCCGCCGTCCCACCTAGCGCTGTTTGAACAATCAGCTGCCTGTGCCGTCTCCGTTCGCCGCCTCTCGTCTCACCACGTACCCGCGCGCGCTGCTCGCTTCGCTAGTCCGGCCTCACCGTCCTTGCCCCCCCCCCCCTCCCTCCCATTGGCCGGCGGGCGGACCCTGTCCCCCTACCTCCTTGTGATAAGGCCGGCGCCGCGGCCCGGGCCGCCCGCCGAGGTCTGCCGCGCGCGCCACTCAGAGCCGGGACCGTGCCGTTTGTTGTTTCGTTCGTGTGTGCGTGTGTGTGCCGTGTGTCTGCGCGCGGTGGCCGCGGGAGTGGGAAGCCCGCCAGTGGTTCGCCGCACGTGCGTTGCCTTGAGTGGCTGACTATATATAGGTATATATATATCACACCATCATCGGATAATACACTGCATATTTCACGGACCACGGCCGGGTTTGCTGGCGGCACTGCGCGTCAGAGGCTGAGCGAAAGGCCGCCTCCCCTCAGCAGCCTGTGAAGCGCACCGCGGGTGAGCGGTGAAAGCGAAGGTACAAGCGGGCCGTGTCTCGACGTCGAGCTCTCTGTCCTCCTACAGTCTCGTCTCGTCAATATCACAGAGCACTATGTGTTGCTTGTAGGCGTACACCTCGTTGTGCACCGTCGTCGGCTCGCCGTTGACAAGGAACCGCAGTGGTGCACTGCCATCTACCGGCGTCGTCGAGTCAGAGTGTTTGTCGAACTCGTCGGCAGAGGTCTCTGGCGAGCGCCAGCGCCGGTCGCCACCGTGCGGGCCTGTCTCGTCCGACGGCCGGCTGACGATCAAGCCGTCCTGCACGATCCAGCGCGGCGAGTTGCCGTAGCCGACGTCGCTGACGATCTCGTCGGCGTCCTGTTTGCTGCTGCGCTCGGCCTGCTGCAGCGTGTCTGGCAGGGAGCGGCGCGCCGTCTCCGGCAGCACAAGCGCCACGAAACCGGCCAGCAGCGCCAGCGAGCCGAACAGCAGGAACGGCAGCCACGTGTATGTCAGGTCACCCTGCCGGCCAGCGGGTGGGTCAGCGACGATGGCAGGCGGGATACGCACGTGACAGGCGCGGTGTCATGCAGGGCACGTACGCGACAGGGACGGTGTCATGCTGGGGCACGCATGTGACTGGGATGATGGCAGGTGAGGCACGCACGTGGCTGGGACGATGGCAGGTGGGGCACGCATGTGGCTGGGACGATGGCAGGTGGGGCACGCATGTGGCAGGGGGCTCTCACGCGGGCACGCACGTGGCAGGAGTGATACACGCGGTACACGCGTGTAACAAGGACAATGGCGGACCAGAACGGAAGAGACCATGACTGGTCATGGATTCAGAGACAAGGGCGCACACTGAAATATCCGCATCAGGCCAATCTCAAGCATCAGGGACAATGGCAAGGCGGCCAACGGCGAGGGTACCACGGACAAGGGGTGGGGGGGTGCCGCCAAGCGTCAGGGATGGGCATTGACCCATTCCGTTTGAAAGAATGCCTCGAACGTCTCCGACTCACCAGCAGCAGGATCTGAGGTGCCACCAGGCCGCCGATGCGCGCCCATGACATACAGGCGCCCATGGCCAACGACCGGACAACGGTGGGCAACAGCTCGGAGCTCAGCAGGAACACGGAGCAGAACGTGCTGACCGCGCTGGCCTTGCCCAGCAGCGTGAGGCTCGTCACCAGCGACGGCACGTCGATCAGGTCCGCTGGGGGCACCGGGAGGTCAGGTCAGTTACGTCCACCGGGACGCCGGTAGGTCAGGTCAGTGACGTCCGCTGGATCGCCGGGAGGTAAGGTCGATGACGTCCACCAGGACGCCGGTAGGTCAGGTCAGTGACGTCCGCTGGTTCGCCGGGAGGCCAGGTCAGTAGTGTCCACTGGGACACGAAACGATCGGGTCTGTCATGGTGGTCGTGATACAGAGGGTAGTGAAGTCTGGTCAGCCCGATCAGACCCGAATATGGCTACAGGTAGCCCAGTGAAGCACACTAAAAACGCACATAAAGACGCGCTGACAGCGACAGCACTCACAACGCAGGGGCAGGACCTTGGGCAGGACCCATCAGAGACCATCAGAGACCGCAACCCAGGGCAGGATCCATCAGATACCCATCAGAGACCACAACTCAGGGAAGGACCCATCAGAGACCCATCAGAGACCACAACTCCGGGCAGGACCCATCAGAGACCACAACTCGGGGCAGGACCCATCAGAGACCAGCGGCAGCCGCGCCGTGGGCGGACGTTGTGTCGGATCGGCCGGTGGTGGCCGCCGTCTCACCGTGCTGTCGATCACAGCCGGCACCTGCTCGGGAACACTGGGACGCCTTTGTGCCCCCGGGACATCGACTGTGATCGCAGAAAACCGACTGTGACCTCAGCTCACCGATCGTGATCCCGAGCTAGTGAGTGTGACCCTAAGCTTCTGACAGAAGAGACCTCCGATCGGGACTGCTGACTGCGACGACCCCTGACCCCGGAGGACTGAGCTCACTCTGCAGCAGGCGGCGGGCGGCTACGGTGCCGATCAGCAGGGCACCACTCAGCAGCAAGTAGGCTACCACGCAGGTGCGTCGGCCCACCAGCCGGAGGCTCAGGTAGGTCAGCAGGTACGCCACCAGCTCCAGCGCCCCGCCCAGCATGAAGTTGAAGAAGCGGTTGCCGCTGAGGTCTGATATGTTGAGGGAGACGCCGTAGTACGTCAGGGAGACGGTGAACCTGACGACAGGAGGGCGCACTCACGTGGGATTGCAGGCAAGGCTCGCTGAAAACCTGGCGACAGGGCGGGCACACTCACGTGGAACTGCAGGCAGGGCTCGCTGAAAACCAGGCGACGGGGAGGGGGCCACACTAACGTGGAACTGCATGCAGGGCTCGCTGAAAAGAACTAATAGAATGCTATTACAGGTGGCAGTCGCGATGTGGCGGGCGTCGCAGCGTCCACGCTAATTGTCATCGAAGCTCGTTAGTAATATTTCGTCACGAAAAACATTTCCCGGCCATTTAGCCACATCGATGTTCTCAATTCTTTAATCTGTCACTGTTATCCAGGAAAATTAAGTGGCATGTCTTTATAGTGATGTTGCATTCCAAATTATTCTCGGGCCAGGGGAATAGACGAGGTAATCGTCCCACTCACCAGACGAAGAAGAGGACGAGCGAGTTGCGGCGGATGGCGGGCGTGCGGAAGAGGTCACGGATGTCGTAGCTGTGGCACGCCTGGCCGCCCACCGTCTGGCACAGCTTATCCAGCTGCTGCAGCAGGTCGCCGCTCAGGCGGAGGCCGTTGTAGTAGGCGATACGCTCGGTCACCAGGCGCGCGCGGCGTACCCGCCCCCGCGAGATGAGCCAGCGCAGCGACTCAGGAATCAGCCTGGGGTCACAGAACGGTCAGAGGAGTCGGTACGGAACACTCAGGAATCAGCCTGGGTCACACGACGGTCAGGGGCGTCGGCACGGAACACTCAGGAATCAGCCTGGGGTCACAGAACGGTCAGAGGAGTCGGCACGAACACTCAGGAATCAGCCTGGGGTCACAGAACGGTCAGAGGAGTCGGCACGGAACACTCAGGAATCAGCCTGGGGTCACAGAACGGTCAGGGGCGTCGGCACGGAACACTCAGGAATCAGCCTGGGGTCACAGAACGGTCAGAGGCGTCGGCACGGAACACTCAGGAATCAGCCTGGGGTCACAGACCGGTCAGAGGCGTCGGCACGGAACACTCAGGAATCAGCCTGGGGTCACAGAACGGTCAGGGGCGTCGGCACGGAACACTCAGGAATCAGCCTGGGGTCACAGAACGGTCAGAGGCGTCGGCACGGAACACTCAGGAATCAGCCTGGGGTCACAGAACGGTCAGAGGGAGTCGGCACGGAACACTCAGGAATCAGCCTGGGGTCACAGAACGGTCAGGGGCGTCGACACGGGTCCCGGGAGATTCAGCGTTCGATGGGCGTATGAGAAGGCCAGGCATGGTCCAGAGGAAGGTTACCATGGATTCTGAGAGGGATCTGTTTTGAGTTGCAGCGGAATTCCAATGGAATCAGAAAAAGATCGGTGCGCCATTCAAAACGACGTCAGATGAGTGAGTCTGGGAGAGATCTGGGAGTCATAAAGGCGTCCGAGGAAAATCGGCATTTATTCAGAGCGGGATCTATCGGAGTAAGAGGGGTCACAGACGAGGATCAGTACGAGGACTGGGCACTGGACTGTTATGGGAATTAGACAGACAGACAGACGCGACACGACTGACAGCCTACTGTGAGAAAAGGAAGGCAGCGCGCGTGGAGCACAGGCACTTCACCATAGCGTTTTCCGCTAACATCTCCCGAATCGCGGTGTGACTGGGCGCGTCAGGGCTCTCACCAGATGTACAGCAGCGTGACGAGGGTGGGGATGCTGATGGCCAGCTGAACATAGCGCCAGTGCTGGACGAAGTAGTAGCAGATGGCCAGCAGGATCAGCCCCAGGGCCCAGAACACCTCGGCCGCCACGCCGGCCAGCGTGCGGTACCGCGGCGAGAACAGCTCCATCAGCAGGGTGTAGGTCGTGGTCTGCAGCCCCTGTGACAGCGGCGAGGTCGGAGCTCAGGTGGCGGCGCGTCAAGTGGCCGTCCGATCATCGGCAGCTGTTGAGTCGCTTAAAGAACCTCCGCTTTGGAGATGTGCACTCAGAGTATTGCGTGCAAAAAGTTGATGAAGTTATCCGCCTCTGCCGTTGATGATGCTGGTTTGGATTTTTGACAACGCTTCGTCTGTTGAAGCCATTTCGCGCTGTACTGGTGTGGCAATGGCTCAATGTCAAAGGTTAAGATAAGAAGAAAAAGAGGAAGTCACGACCTACAGACCAGCCAGCCAGAATACCAGTATACGGCGACAGCCATATCTACCCAGTCAATGTCTTTATTTACCTTAAGAAGCTAACCAGCCCATTAGTTTATAAAGGTCAGCTAATCAGCTGGTCAGGGGAAGAACTAAAATCAGTCGGCTAGCTTATAAAGGTCAGCTGATCAGTTAGCCAGGGAACTAAATCTCGTTCAGTCCGATCGGAGCGTTATGACCGACAGTTTTAGCTCGAGAAGTTCACCTACGAACAATATCAGTGTTGCAGGGCGTTCGAACTTGCTGTCAGAGGTGCAGTCTGCTTGTCAGAGGTGCAGAAGGTGCAGTCGACAAGTGCGTTTCACGGTTTCACGTGTTTTTGGTCACGGGCAAGTGGTTTTAACGGTTTTCACGTGCTTCATGGCCAACATGCACCAGAATCGATTACGCGCGGAACGTTCGCCGAGTCTCCAGTCGAAATATGTGGGTGCTGTACGAGTGACCAATGCGGAGACCGGCCAGAGTGACTTCGTCTTTTCTGACCATCCGGGAAGGGAACACCCAGTTTTCTATCCCGGGCTTGATGTTTTCAGCTTGTTTCCACTGGCTTGTTAAATTCACGGCTTCTGTCACCCAGCCAGTCAATGGTGCCTTGCAACAGCGAGCCATCTTGTTTGGCTTTGTAATCGGTATGACCACAGATTCTCCCCCATTGCATCAGAAGATAATCGGTCACCCAGATAAAACTAGAACTGAAATGCCAGCGGCGACGCTGTGGAACTTTGTTTCAGCAAGCCGTGTGTAATACCCACCGGTCCTGGAGCCTTACTTCTTGTACTTCCAATGGCGGCTGCCAGCTCGGCCATAAGCAATCCTGACATTATATGCTTCACTTTTACCGGAGTGAGCACTTACCGGATGCCGTTCGTACAAACGCACAGTGACATGCAAATACCACACGTTAGGAGTCCAGCTCAGTCCACTCCGAAAACACGCAGTCAAATATGCCCGCGACGTATGCAGTGTTCGTGGCTGCTGCAGCCACCCATCCTCAGTACAGAAACCAACGAGGGGGAGCATCTCTCCGAAATGGCGTTTAATGCGGGGTCCTACCAGCCTCAGAGACGTAAAACGGGTAATGCCCAAACGTAGCTGTAAGAAGGTGTTCGTTTCACCTCTTGTGCAGTTTTCTTCGCCTGTGCCCTCGGATGTTTAAACAAGATACGGCTATGCGATGTCAAGAAGTGGAAGAATCTCCCCAGCGCCCTCTTTTGCGCGATATCAGCCAGGCATTTGTCACTCCACCACTGCATCGGAACTTGGCGAGGTGCTGTAGATTTGCGGGGCATTATAGTACTAGCAGCGGTACGCATTACACATGTATATTCCTAATCGTGGATGACGCTGTGTCCCCTATCGTGGATGAATAGAAGCATTGTACTCAGTTGCAAATGCCGGCCAGTGTGCTGGAGACGATGGTTCGCCTCCAGCAGGAGACTTGAACGATCTCTCCGACGGCGTTGATCCATGGCTTCGTGGAACGTCAGCAAGACGGTCAAGTTAGAGTGCAGCAGTGCTTTGCTGGAGCTCGTAAACGCAGCTCATGGCAGCAGCGCTGCGAGTAGGCACAGCTGGTCAAAGGCATGAGAGAGATGCAACGCAAACAAAAAATCGAGAACTCGGAGTCACCAAGAGCATCGGTACTCTTTCAGTGATACCGTCCTTCAATGACTAAGTCCTCAGCTTCCGGCGCGAGATATCCGGATACTGGGCACGCTTTTTAATATCCTCTGGATATTTGAATTGTCACGTAGCTAAGTAGCTCGTGTCAACAGACAGCTTTTATTGACCACTTGTCATCGACTTACCGCGGTCACTCAACTGACTTTGAAACGTTGCGAATGTGTTTCGGTGCTGACTGCAGACTCGCGTGCGCTCTCCTGAGACCCATGAGACAGTCAACAGCGGACGATATTGGGCGCTCCAAGACCAAGTGGTCGACGTTCCCGCAAACCCCACCGCCATCAGCGACGACCGGTCTGCCTCCAACACACTCCCGGGGAACTGTTACACTCCGTGGGAGTGATGGCCACCGCAAGGTCGCTTCTTTCCCACCGCCGACAGCGTGTCACGGTCGCTCGGCAAATTTCAGCCGACGCCGCACCAGCGTTGCCCAACGGCCTGCTATTGGCCTGATCGGTGGACTTTCGTCACCCTGCAGCTTGTTTAGAGGACGGCAGACGGCGCCCCCACGCCTGCCGTCCGTGTTAGCCAGACGCGGACGGCATTCAGGGCCGGCGCTGGATGTGACTGGAATTACCGTCACGGGATTCCTTATACCAGGGCTTTTTGAATGGCCAGTGCCGTTGCCGCAAATATTTGGCAGCGCTGTCCGCATCGATCGCCTTCCGTCTCGGCTTCCAACTGGCCACTGCAAAACGCGGTGACGTCTTCTGAAACTCGTCGCTGCGATCTGTTTTAACATGTGCTATGTTTAAAAGTCAGCACGCCACGCAAGCACAAAACAACTAGATGAAGTTCGGCGGGCGAGCGGAAGCACGCCCGCGGGACTGTCACGTCCGCGAACAGCTGATGTCCCGTGCAGCGCTGCAGCATGCCTGTGCAGTATGCTTATGTCCCGTGTAGCACTGCAGCATGCCTGTGCAGTACACTTCCTGACCTAGCACTGCAGCATGCCTGCGCAGTATACTTCCTGCCCTAGCACTGCAGCATGCCTGCGCAGTATGCTTATGTCCCGTGTAGCGCTGCAGCATGCCTGTACAGTATGCTTGTGTCCCGTGCAGCACTGCAGCATGCCTGTACAGTATGCTGATGAACCGTGCAGCACTGCAGCATGCCTGTACAGTATGCTTGTGTCCCGTGCAGCACTGCAGCATGCCTGTACAGTATGCTGATGTCCCGTGCAGCACTGCAGCATGCCTGTACAGTATGCTGATGAACCGTGCAGCACTGCAGCATGCCTGTACAGTATGCTGATGAACCGTGCAGCACTGCAGCATGTCTGTACAGTATGTTGATGAACCGTGCAGCACTGCAGCATGCCTGTACATTATGCTGATGTCCCGTGCAGCACTGCAGCATGCCTGTGCAGTATGTTGATGAACCGTGCAGCACTGCAGCATGCCTGTACAGTATGCTGATGTCCCGTGCAGCACTGCAGCATGCCTGTACAGTATGCTGATGAAACGTGCAGCACTGCAGCATGCCTGTACAGTATGCTGATGTCCCGTGCAGTACTGCAGCATGCCTGTGCAGTATGCTGATGAACCGTGCAGCACTGCAGCATGCCTGTACAGTATGCCGATGAACCGTGCAGCACTGCAGCATGCCTGTACAGCATGCTTGTGTCCCGTGCAGCACTGCAGCATGCCTGTACAATATGCTGATGTCCCGTGCAGCACTGCAGCATGCCTGTACAGTATGCTGATGAACCGTGCAGCACTGCAGCATGCCTGTACAGTATGCTGATGTCCCGTGCAGTACTGCAGCATGCCTGTACAGTATGCTGATGTCCCGTGCAGCACTGCAGCATGCCTGTACAGTATGCTGATGTCCCGTGCAGCACTGCGGCGGCGCCGCCCTGCAGCCTGACACCGAGGACACGGCGCCGCTGTAGCCACGTGAGTGCGGCCCGCACGCCCCTCACCTGAAGGAAGAAGCCCTGCATGACGCGGACACTGATGAAGATGATGAGCCGCCGCACGAAGTAGAGACCGGCCCCGAGGATCAGTTGCACGTACAGGCAGAGCAGCATCATGGGCTGCCGACCGAACCTGACGCACACGGGACCGGGGCGTCACGCTCTGCGACGCCGGATAGAACGCGTCGACGGCCGGCGCCGCCGGCGTCGCGCGCCACCGCCGCTGTCGAGGCCGCCAGGGATGTTATATACATACGTCGTCACACAACCGATACTGCTGCCGCCAAGCTCAGGATGGTACGCCTCAAACGCACCGCTCTGTTTGCATGAAGCCACGGGCGAATTTAATCGATAATCCTGCTTAATCTGGCCCGCGTGATCACCCCATCGCAGGCCGACGGGGCGCGGCCCGCCACGCCCGCCGGTCGCGAGCAGGACTCACCTGTCAGCCAGAGCGCCGAACACCAGGCCTCCGACTGTCACACCGGCGAAGTACAGTGTGGTGATGAGGCGGGCCAGGTAGCGCCGGTCGCAGACCAGGCCCCACTGTGCGGACAGAAGGCCCGGTCAGGCCGGCGGCGGTCTGCGAGACGGCCGCAGACAGGGTACTCCGGCCCCGACCACACTGTGACTTGTACAGACACAGACAGGGTACTTCCCCGTGGCCATGCCCGGAGAATGTGTCCACCTCTCCGTATGACAGGCGCGGCCGACCACACTGTGACGTGGCCTAGGCCGGGGAGCGCGCCCACCTCTCCGTATGACAAGCGCGGCCGACCACATTGTGATGTGCCCGCAGCCGGGGAACGCGCCCACCTCTCCGTATGACAGGCACAGCCGACCACACTGACGTGGCCACAGCCAGGGAATGTGCCCACCTCTCCGTATGACAGGTGCAGCGGTCTATGCTAGCTATGCATTGTAGGGAGATAGAACGGTGACCTCACTACATGTGCACCAAGTGTGCAGCGAACCGTGGTTTGGGTTATGGTTGCCTGTGCGTCTCAGAAAGGCTTCGGGTTCTGTGATTTTAGCCGTTGTCAACGCATGGAAATTGTGATTGATTAATGACACTGATCTCGATTCACCGGAGAGCCATGAAAACAGCTATTTGTCTTACAGCGTCTTGTGTGGAAGGAGCCCACTGGACTCGCACTCGCAATTTCCTGTTGCATAGAGCTTTTACGGTCGGGGTAACCGCAGTTTTCATGCCGCTAAGAATTTATGTGGTGCCGTGGCGCATGCGGTCATGCGAGCAGAAGGAACGGTTCCGAATGCCTGCATCCCAAGGAAACGGACAATGCACAATTCAGTAGTGTCACGCTGCAGTGCAAATGGGGACAATGTCTTTCATTTGTTACATGATCTTTAGCGAGTATTTTCGTGAAACCAGGTTTTGCCAGCTTTGTCTCATTAGTGATCAATAAAACGACACATTTTTCCTTTCTTTAAGCCAGTACAATCGGTCATTCGCTCTGCCACATACTCAACCTATGCCGCTATGCCCAACCAGCATTAAATGTATCACGGGGGAGCATGTCAAATCGGGCCACTGAGTGACTCTCCAAGATTCACTCCAGTCAGTGTCCAAAACAAACCTCAGAAAAAATAAGGTGATTTGTGCTTTCCATCCGGAAATGTATCATTCCTCGGCAGACAGATGACGTCACTACTCATTAGGTTAGATCTTAGATCTCTTTTACCCAGGTTAGGTTAAAACAGGTTCAATCTCTTTTACCCTCGCCACAGGATCGCTGCCATGGCGTCCCCCTGTCCAAAATTGCAGCTATTGGTAACGCAACAACAAACCTTCATGCTGGCTAAAATAACATATACCTAATGATCTTTCCACACCAGTCAGCAGATCTTATGCTGAGCTTTACACCGCCTGGAAACCAGCAACTCAAAACGCTTCACTATCGAGAGAAGCGGCAGTCGGCACAAGTCATCCGCGCTCGGCCAAATGAGTGGCAGCTGCCTCCGCCATTGTTTCTCCCATGTCCAGACGCCGCGCTGGCCAGCCCTACGGCCGGCGACGGCGCGAGCCATTCGAACCAGCATCGTTTGCGGTTTCCGGAGTCATTGTGCGCTCGCCGGCTCGGAGCGCTGACTGCCGGGCGGGCCCGCCGTCAGCTGGCACCCGGAGCCTGGGTGACGTCATATGCCAGCTTCCCGCGGCCGGGCGCCGTGAAACGAACCGGCGGCGGTGCGCCGGCTGCCGTGAAATTGACGTCACAGCGAGCCGGACTGCGCAATTGTGGACCGATGATCAATTTCATGAGCCAAATATCCTACGTGTCAGCAAGATACATTGCGTGATACATCGTTGGCCATAGTACGTTGCTGCCAGCCTCTAAGCAAACTGGAGTCCAGTTGCCTATTACCTCCTCGTGTTAAATAATTCTCCATCCTCACTTGGATATTTTCAGCACAAATGTTGCAACGTCCCAGCAAAATGGGCCGTCGCCAAGCACTTACAATCGAAGAAGAAGGGCGCGTTCGCGAACGGGTTCACGACCCTAGTAAGTGAGCGTAGTCGATCACCGTGCCCTGTTATTTTCCGATTACATCGATACGTCACGGGCCCGCTGTGGCGTCGACGGACGCCTCGGTGGGAGACCGGCTCAGCGGGGGTGGCCAGCCTCTGCGGGGGCTCACACCGTCATCACCCGCCGGTCACCAGCGGCTAGCTGGATCCTCGAGCTGCCGGCCGGTGACGTCACGGGATGGGTGCACCTGGGTGGGGGGGGGGGGGGGGGGGGGGGGGGGGGGCGGGAAGGTGGAGTGTACCGCTTTGGTGCCCGGGCAGGCAGGGTGTACCGTTGGGGTACCCGGGCAGGTGGAGTGTGCCACTCGGGTGTCCGGTCGGGCGGGGTGTACCGCTGGAGTTCCCAGGCCGTTGGGGTACCCGGGCAGGCGAGGTGTACCGCTTTGGTGCCAGGGCAGGCGGGGTGTGCCGCTGGGGCACCCGGGCAGGCGGGGTGTGCCGCTGGGGTGCCCGGGCAGGCGGGATGTACCGCTTTGGTGCCAGGGCAGGCGGGGTGTGCCGCTGGAGTTCCCGGGCAGGCGGAGTGTACCGTTGAGGTACCTGGGCAGGCGGGGTGTACCGCTTTTGTGCCCGGGCAGGCGGGTGCACCGTTGGGGTACCCGGCCAGGCGGGGTGTGCCATGCAGCATTGCCAGCGGCACTGGCGTCCCTGAGCGGGACGTACCAGACTCAGATAAGCCGGGTGGTACTGACACTGTTGCAGCCTGCGCTTACTCTTTCACACCGAGTCGCCCCGGAAGTGCTATGTCTTTGGGCCGCTTTGCGGTCTCCACCATGACGACGAAGGTTTAGCCATCGCTAGAATCATTCAGGAAGATTTATTTGAATTGCACCGATTACCCACGAACGAATAATGACCAAAAGCCGGTGCCCTCTCGACCGGCCTTTGACTCTGACTGCCAGGTCACGGTGGCGGCGTAAATGGCAGGCATGACTCCGTGACCGTCTGAGTTCTGCCGCGCGACTCTGTGACGGCCGTGCACCTCGACGGGCCGGCCTGGCGCCTGGGTACTGACTTCTGGCTCCGGTGGCCCGCCCGGCAGGCGGGACCGGCCGGGGTCAGGCTGCTCCGCCGGATCCCGCCCACTTCCGGTCGTGCGCTCGCGCCCCCCTCCCGCCATGGTCACGGCCAGGCTGGGCACGAGTTCGGGGACGCCTGCTGCAGGGTCAGCGGAGGCACGCCTACCCCCCCTCCCACACACTCCCATGCTGCTTCCGCCCCTCCCCGAACCCGCCCCCGCCCTTCCGTCAGCAGACCCCCCAGACTAGGGTCGGCAATGGTGATTCGATTGAGTTCCGCCGGGTACCATTTCGTTGCATCGCTTATGCAATGTTGCAATGCATTCCACAGCCTTTAGTTTTCGCCGCTTGCAATGTGTATTATGCAGAACGGGCCCACATCCGCGTTGAGCAACGCAAAACACGAAAGCGATGGAGAGCTTATGCTTGATTGTAAATACGCGTCGCGCCAGCGCTGCATAACCAGCACTGCGCCGTGTGATTTGCATCATGGCACCAATGCACGCCCAGTTAGGCGGGCTCAACATGTGTAACCAATAGCGGTGAGAGTGTCAGAAGCGGCTCGAGTGAAGCAAGACACCCGCACGGCGCCGGGTTTCTTCAGGCATGCCTGCTTGCATCATGACGCATACCACCGCCTGTTCTGCATCCCGACGGTGGGGTGTCGCCTTCGTCCCCTCGGCCTCCCGCATCGCCGCCCTCATGGCGGGACCAGACGGGCGCTGTCGGGCAGCAAGCGGACGGTAACTGATGCACCCAGCCAGGCGGCTCGCTCGTGGAAAACATGTGCATGTGCTGCACAGTGTTTATGTAAAAGACGTATGAGTCAGGCTACACCGCGGTGTGGGAGAAAACTTGCTCAACTACGGCGTGTTCGAAGATTTAGAGTGCACAGGGCCGTCTGAAATCGATTGCGACACTGTGTGCTGTTGAATAAAGGGCTGTCATTGCAAGGCATGCCGTCGGACCTGTTATCATCCGGTTTGACCGCGATATGTTTTGGGTATTGTCATTAGCAAATGCAAATAATTATTTTAACGGGTTTAATCATTATTTTCTAAGGACGAATTTTAATGAGCAGATCTCGGCTAGAAATGCGTTGAAATTGTTTTTATAAAATCATGTCAAGACGCATATTTCTATAGAATCGCAGCTGGCTCGCTACAAGTAAGATCAATGGCGGGCATGATGCCGGATCTATTTCTCCCTAAACTTAAAGAAAACAACATTCGGCTGTACGTTTGACGTAGACTCGACAAAACAAACGCCTTTATCATGGCCACGTCTCCTGCCATACATATGCAGTGCTTACACGGCTCATATACCTCAACAAGATCTACAATGAGCGATCCTTAATGCAATCATCTCAGAGCCCGCCTTGCTCCAGATAGCACCGATGTAAACAACGCTGACACAGCCAGGATCCAACGCCCTTGACCGATGCATACGACTGATCGCCCTAGCCTGGTATTATCCTAGAGTTCAGATGAACTTAAAGCATAAGCTGAAGAAAAAATGTCGATAAAAATCCGATTTCATGTAATAAAGTTCTTCTAAACTGGACAGATGTGCTTTGGCTGCTGAATGCCTGATTATGTTTAAAAAGATAACACCGCATGAAGACGATAATTTCCTTGTCAAAGTGTTTAGTATATTCTAAAACTCACAGAAATAGTGAAAGCTTAAACGATGAATATATTAATTCATCATGAAACTAGTATTGAGCTATATTACAATTTTAATTCACGAGTTGAGCAGCTGCCCTCATGTTGTAACTAATCGTAATCGTAAGCGCTCTCGTCTCTGGTACCTCGTAACACTCTTGTAACACTTACTTGACGTCCAAAAAGGTTTCTGTGCTATGCTAAATCTCAATGCAAATAAAATGACGTGCATAACAAACAAAATGGCGTGAAAAATAAATGAAATGGCGTGGAATCTAAATGATATCACGTCTCAGTGCAAACAAAGTCATGAGCGCACAACACATCTGTTTAACCCAACATGTAAACGGAGCCAGTAAGTTTCACGGACCCTTGGGCATAGCGTCTCTTATTTAACCCAAGGAACGTCGCAAACCGTGGGCATTGGCGGCAAACGTCTGCTGATATAAGACCCATATCCTGAGTTACATTCAAGTGACGAGGTGTCTGAAGCGATGAGAGACCATTGCTTACTACCTGGAAAGCATGTTCGAAGCTTGGAGCCATTGGAGGAGATTTGTCTCCCAACGCCCTGCTCCAGTAGTTACACCCATAGTAACAATCATGGCATGAATGTGAACCTCTGCAGATTTGTGAACTTGGAAGGTGCACATTATCTTGCTGCCCCACAAGATGCACAATGAAACCGTAGACAGTTTTTGAGGGTTTGACATCGCTATGCTGCACCTTTTGAAAGGCAATCTTGGGATGAGTCAACTCGGCCCCACCCATTCTAGCGCGCACTACACCGTGCGATACTCAGAACCGGAAGTCTTGGTATTATGAAAAGGGTCGCTTGAAAGCGAATGAACCACGAAACACAATGATCAAGGGTGTGGCGTGAAAGAAAACAATGCAACATTGGCAGAGTGGATAAAGGCATGTTCACAAAGTGGCAAACACACTGATCAGAGACCCACTTACCTCGGACACAACTGTCCATTCCAGACCATCGACGTGGAACTCGTAGCCATAGATGCACTCTTTCGTTCCCCAGCTGTGATTGGTCGGCTCAATATACATGGTGCACTGCTGGTACTGCGTGGTGCCTGCGCTGAGAGGGAGCCGACGTCGGCAGGCTGACGTTCCTAGGCCAATTGTCCGGCAGCTGTCAACAAAGGCACCATGCCAAGAATAAGCGCGTGCATATCAGCCGATCATGAAAGCGCCTGTCAGCGGTTCAATGTGATGCAGAAAGAGGGAGGGAGAGAGAGAGGGGAGAGGAGAAAGGTGGAAAAGAGAGAGAGAGAGAGAGAGAGAGAGAGAGAGAGAGAGAGAGAGAGAGAGAGAGAGAGAGAGAGAGAGAGAGAGAGAGAGAGAGAGAGAGAGAGAGAGAGAGAGAGAGAGAGAGAGAGAGAGAGAGAGAGAGAGAGAGAGAGAGAGAGAGAGAGAGAGAGAGAGAGAGAGAGAGAGAGAGAGAGAGAGAGAGAGAGAGAGAGAGAGAGAGAGAGAGAGAGAGAGAGAGAGAGAGAGAGAGAGAGAGAGAGAGAGAGAGAGAGAGAGAGAGAGAGAGAGAGAGAGAGAGAGAGAGAGAGAGAGAGAGAGAGAGAGAGAGAGAGAGAGAGAGAGAGAGAGAGAGAGAGAGAGAGAGAGAGAGAGAGAGAGAGAGAGAGAGAGAGAGAGAGAGAGAGAGAGAGAGAGAGAGAGAGAGAGAGAGAGAGAGAGAGAGAGAGAGAGAGAGAGAGAGAGAGAGAGAGAGAGAGAGAGAGAGAGAGAGAGAGAGAGAGAGAGAGAGAGAGAGAGAGAGAGAGAGAGAGAGAGAGAGAGAGAGAGAGAGAGAGAGAGAGAGAGAGAGAGAGAGAGAGGAGAGAGAGAGAGAGAGAGAGAGAGAGAGAGAGAGAGAGAGAGAGAGAGAGAGAGAGAGAGAGAGAGAGAGAGAGAGAGAGAGAGAGAGAGAGAGAGAGAGAGAGAGAGAGAGAGAGAGAGAGAGAGAGAGAGAGAGAGAGAGAGAGAGAGGAGAGAGAGAGAGAAGAGAGAGAGAGAGAGAGAGAGAGAGAGAGAGAGAGAGCAGGCAAAGTAGCGAACGAGTGAATGCTAACGAAGAAAGCGACGTCGAAGACTCCTGTATTTGTATTCCGTTAGGTGCACCTTAGCAGACATCCACGAGCCTTGAGCGCGATGAGTGACCGCGTGCTCGGACAGTCCGAGGGGCGTTTATCGGCCGGGGTCATCACTCCTTCCACCCGCGGCCAGGGGCCTCCATGCAGGTCATACTTAACGCCCGACCGCTGTCATTAACTTCGTGAACAATGAGCTGTTACATTTGACCGGGCGATGAATTTATGTGACAGTGAAGATCCAATAAGCGTTTTTCCGTGGCGGCGTGCGCCCAGAGAGAATGGTACCCGCCGCGCGGAAGTGGATCGCGTGCCGCGCGTTTTTGTCCCACGGTCGGCCACGAGGCAGGCGGGCATTATCTAGCTGCTTCTGAGGGCTTGTTTGTGTCCGAAATGGGGCACATGGCTCACCTGTTTATCCGTCGTATGAGGGGGATAATGACTGCTTGTTGTCGGTTGCTACGCATGTGTGTGTGTGTGTGTGTGTGTGTGTGTGTGTGTGTGTGTGTGTGTGTGTGTGTGTGTGTGTGGTGTGTGTGTGGGTGTGTGTGTGTGTGTGTGTGTGTGTGTGTGGTGTGTGTGGTGTGTGTGTGGTGTGTGTGTGTGTGTGGTGTGTGTGTGTTGTGTGTGTGTGTGTGTGTGTGGGTGTGTGTGTGTGTGTGTGTGTGTGTGTGTGTGTGTGTGTGTGTGTGTGTGTGTGTGTGTGTTGTGTGTGTGTGTGTGTGTGTGTATGTGTATGCGGGGGGGGGGCGATAGACGCAGGAGGGAGTAGAAGTGAGTAGCATTTACACAATCGAAAGATATCTGTTTACTTGGACTTCCAACAAAATCGAAAACACTGCCACCGACGTTGCATCCATGTCTGCATAGTGTCTCTCCTCTGTAACCATTTCCTTCTCCTTAACTTGGCTGATGTCAGCCATGGTAAACATTACGTCAAATATGCATGTTCAACACCAGCGTTCATGACTGTAGCTACATGGCAACCAGGGCAGGCGTCGTAGGGGCAGCTACCTCTCCTTGACCGCCAGCTGGGTCCATTCCGGCCAGCCCGGCTGGTGGACGAATCGAAGTTTCTCTCAGTCCATCCCGGGACCATCTCAGGCTAGGCAAGAGCCTCCCTAGACTACGCGCGGCTCCTTTCAGGCCGAATGAGGACCCTGTTACGCTAGATCAGACTGTCCATCTCTGATGAAGGTCCTCTTATACTGGCGGCCGGCTGACCCTCAGGCCGGTGGAGTGGCTTCTAGGGTCAGCCGAGCTGTGCCAGATCCAGAGGAGGCGCAGGGTCATGCCCCCTTTGGGTCCCGAAAAGACTCGTGAATGTTGAGGGAGCCTACCGAGCCCCGTCGGGAGGTTGATCGGGCCCGCCATCACCAAGCCCATGGCCCCACTACCGGGACCCACTATCACCACCGGGTCCCTTATTCGGCGGTTCTGGATGTCCCAGAGCACCAGAAAGATCGCATATGGACACTGTCACCGAAACGGTCAATTGCCCAATCACGTAACTGAGGGTCCCTCCGCGCGACCGAGGGATATCTCAGTACAACCGAGATCCGCTGCGCCGAGCCAAGGGCCTTAGGGCTAACCGGATAACCTCGGGGATAACCGAGAGTCCCTCCGGCCGAACGAGGGCCCGTGAGTCAGACCGAAGGAAAAGCTACTCGGTCAGGATAGAGGTCATCGTCAGGCTGACCGAGGGTCTCTCTTCTCAAGCCAACTGAAGGACCAGGACCCTCCACCCTAACCGAGGACCTCCCCTCCTGACCTGACCAGCCTTCAGGCGGTCGGCGGTGTCAGGGTCGCGAGCTCGGATCCACGCGTCCCCGTGACTGTTTCGCGGTGGGCACACCTCACCAGGAGAACCTCGACAAGCAGCTGTTTGCCGCGCTGTCATGGAGCAGCCCGTAAAGATGTGTGACTGCTGTAATGTTATGTCAGCAGATTCTGGAACACTAGACGAAAATGGCGTGCATGCAAGTGGGAGCACGATACGACGTTAATTGACGAATGATTTAAATCAGGTGCTACCTAAGTGTTTTGCGAGCTTTATGCCCTTTGTGTTTAATCGTGAGTATCTATTAGCTGGATAGGTAAAGCCACTTAATAAAACTATACCAAACTTGAAAGGAAGGCTGTGGTGTTCTATATGCATTATGTCGAGTTCAATTACAAGGAAGTGGTAATGTGTGCGGGAACGAGAAAGACGGATATGGTAGAAGTATACGTTATACAAAATTGCAGACTGGAGTGGACCCTTTTTACCAAAACTCCTATGCCTGGAGAAGGACCCTTAACAAAAGGACGCCGTGGACACGCTCAATCGGAAATACGTGACGGTCGGCCCTGATGACAACGAGGAAAACTTAACAGTAGGAGATACAGGTTGTACGTTAGGCGGAAGGTTTTAATTGAGAGGAAACTCGTGCATTTTCCTCTCTCAAACTTAAACTCTCTCACCCCGCTTCCCCCACACCTACACGCCAGTTCGGACTAATGCCCCACTCCTCCTCCTTTTACAGTCCATCCCAAAGCGTTCACATCCCCCTGTGTCACTCCTGCTCCGCTCTCCCTCCCTTTCAGTCCCTCTTCCCTTCCCTCCGCTCTCCCCTCCGTCCGACTCACACGGCAGTTGTGCTCCGGCGTGAAGCCGTGGAAGGCCATCAGCAGGTGGTTCACCGACACGGGCACGTAGTTGAAGCAGAGCAGCACCATCACCAGCACCTGGTAACGGCCTGGCTGTCCCAGGGCCACCACCAGACCCTCCACGCTGCCAGCCTGAGCCGACATGGTCTCACACTGCCGCCTCCGTCGTCGTCGCCGCCGCCGCGCGGAGGGCGTTTGATCAATCGGCGGGACGTGGGTCCGGCGTCCTCCCGGCGTCACGCTCGAGGTCGTACCAGCACGAGAGTCAGCCCCGGTCTCCACCACGAGTCACAATCTCCGGCCAGCTGCGGTCTCCTTCAGCAGCTCCGGTCTCCTCAGGTGGCTTCACTCGATGCGCTCGCAGCGGTCTCCTCCGCCGGTCTCTGCCGGTGGCCTGCGGACGAGTGAGCCGCGGTGAGAGTAAATATAGACGGGAGGCGGGCAGGCGGTACGCAGGCGGTCCGCAGGCGCGGCTCGGAAGTCCGTCCCGGCGTCCGGCTAACATGGACACGTCAGTCGAGTTTACGACTTCTTCAGACGCTAGACTTTGGTGTCACTGAAGAATATGGCGGTTACCAGGTTCAATGCTATATATATATATATATATATATATATATATATATATATATATATTCTGATAAACACCTAGTCCAGTACATGATAAGTGAGACAAGCCAGCAGTGTATCAGTTGATGGTTATTGGTGAACATGGTTATGCTGCAGCGGTTCGGCTTCCGTGTTGTCTGGACGCAATGAGCCAACATGACTATTTGCCAATTATTTTGGCTGAAACCCGGTGCGCGTTTTCATCTATATGTATGGAACAATTGATCCAGTAGCAGGTTTGAACAGAAGTGTCACCGCACAGGTCACACCGCGCGGCACGTGCAGGGAAAGTGTGTGTCCACAGAGCGGAGCAAAGCGCCCTCCCGTAACGACCGGCGCGTACGACAGTGCAGGACTAACTGTCTCAGCCGGGCCCGTAACTGTCCACGCCGCTGCCCAAACGACGTGCCAGTCGCCGACCCGTGCGCAATCACACCGCGCCGACCGTCACCGGTGGCGGGAGGAGGGAGAGGGGAGGGGGGGGGGGGGGCTCCGCGGGCGGCGCTCGGAGCCAGCCTGCGGCCTCCGCAGGTGTCGGGCTCAGCACCGGTCCGGCGCTCCCCGGACAAAGGTCGGCGGCGCTTTCCGGCTGGGTGCCGTGGGCCGGCCGGTGTCCAGGGCGCCGTATAGACGGTGGATTCCGGAGTCAGCAGACAATGTCCGTAATCGCGCCGCGCCAGGCCGGGCGCCGCTTTCACGGTGAGGGCCGCAGGACGCATGACCGGAATCGTCAAAAGGCATTTCTCTTTCTGGATTGATCGAGTCCCGTATCGGGGCTAATCGCGGGGCTTCCGTTACGATTTAGATAAAGGATAAAACACCGATATTTTAAAGTTGTAATCAGCGGTAATTATGGCCTTGGGTCTTATCAGAGACGGGCCGGTAACTAAATGGTCCGGCGAGCCAACCCAACAAGGAGAAAAGTCGCCGGTAACGTGGACTGCGAGTAGCGTGGAATACAGACCAGTTAAAACGTGTCTGTTCCAGCAGTAGACGGATCCATTTAATCAGCATAAAGCCCTTCAACGGCCGATATAAAACCTTAGACGTCTGGAAGACGGTTCATCATTAGGACCCGCGACGATATCTAAGTTGCTTGAGAAACGTCATCCGTGAAGTTTCATTGTGTCAAAACAAATGTCCCAGTGATCGAATGTTTTAGATTGGCAGCTTTGGGATCGTAGTTCACGCCGAGCAGAGTTAGCTTTTTGCACCTTAATCCTCTGTCCACGTGGTACAATCGATGGCTTTTGTTTCATTCCGAGGGCAAGAGAAGAACGATTTGCTGCGCTGTGGAAGTTGACTCGTAAGCCCAAACACCAGGCGTTTTCTGTGCAAATAAAAGCCGCACTGCCGCAGGCCAGACCTACTCCGGTTCTGGCGCGCCGCATGTGCGGAAAACGGAAAGCTAACGGTGCGGAAAATTATGGGCAAATCGGTGAGATTGCTCATTTTAGACCGATGATGAAAAGATTCGTGAATATCGATAGGCTGTTTGCGTAAACTGCTTTGCACGCTGGGAACAAGGAAGTAGATAAACTTGCATGCAAATATTGATCTTTCACGTAGAGGCTTCCAAACGTGGATCGTCAAATGTCTATGTAATAACCACGAAATGCTCTGCGATTTACTGACGACGCATAAGAACGACACTTTTACACCTCCCCGCCATGATCCTCTTGCAAGAAGACAACTTAACGTAAAGAGAAATCGATATAACTACAGCGTGTTATGATATTATGGTCTTCCACTGCACTGGGGTGTAGTTCAAAGTGCCGTAAAAAGTATGTTGTAAAGGCAGGTTATCACGCATAAACGTTCGCTTCAGATAGTCACCGTTGGGAAGTATGCGTATCGGACGAGTGCTTGCAGTCTGTTGTACTCCGATGACAGACGAGTGGTTGCAGCCTGTTGTACTCTGAGTTCCAGACGGGTGCTTGCAGCCTGTTGTACTCTGAGTTCCAGACGGGTGCTTGCAGCTTGTTGTACTCTGAGTTCCAGACGGGTGCTTGCAGCCTGTTGTACTCTGAGTTCCAGACGGATGCTTGCAGCCTGATGTACTCTGAGTTCCAGACGGGTGCTTGCAACTTGTTGTACTCTGAGTTCCAGACGGATGCTTGCAGCCTGTTGTACTCTGAGTTCCAGATGGGTGCTTGCAGCTTGTACTCTGAGTTCCAGACGGATGCTTGCAGCCTGTTGTACTCTAAGTTTCAGACGGGTGCTTGCAGCTTGCTGTACTCTGATGACCATTCCAATTACTGCAATCCACAATCCCTTTCCGCCCAATCACCACGCGGAAAGGCGATGTGGAATGCGATAATGAACGAGGCAACTGCCGCTTGCCTGCACAGGCAAGCCTCCCTGATTAATCAGTTACTTTCTGGATGCACATTTCCGTATGCATCAACATATGACGGAGTAATTCGCTAGTTTTCGTGTCACAAAAGGCGTAGCATCATGCTTACAAGGTGCAAGTCACCAAACGCTCGTTCGTGTGCCCACATGCAGTCGGTATTGATGACTTTTGGCCCACGCTTGCACATCGACCAAGTTGTGTGTGGTGAGACAGTGAGGGTACTTGTTAAAAAGCCCTGGTGAGATGAGCACAAACCGCTGGCAAAATGATAAGGAAATTTTGATGTTTTTCTTAATGATATTGATCTCTTCCCCCTACCGCGGCAGTGTAAGCATGACTGAAGTCATCAGTCAGTCAGCAGTTGAACCAGTTGTAGCGAACCCTGATACATTATACACAAATTCCGTCACTACTTAAGATTCATCATTGACCAAACTCCGTTCCTTTTCGTTCGGCTCTTGCCAAGTTATCTAAAGCGCTGGTACGCGTGACCAATGGTCGGACCTATTGATTTGACCCATTTACCTGACCTTTTTACGTTGTTGTCAGCATTGACCATAAAGTCAGTCGCAGCTCTTTAATAGCGGCGTATAGATCTGTTACTGATGAAAGCTTTTCAGGAGGTCACTCATGCAAAATGAGGAGAAAGGAGCAGCACTTCCGCTGTTCTGCGTCTGCTGGACGCAAAGGATGCCTCAAAGGACCATCATATTTGCTCCTCCCTCCCCAAATGTCTCCAACCTTAACCAGTCGCCTGCACCCTGTCCGAGCTTTGTTTGGGCGAGCGCTGCCCACCTCTGAACCATTTCAATGGTGACGCAGCTATGCTGGTCTTGAAGTTCACCCTTCGGCATGTACACCGTGTGTTTGCGTGCCTTTAATAGCCAGTCTGATCGCGCCGAAGTTAACATGCGTTTGCAAGGCCTGGGGAGACGTGGAGAGTGCCGCACGGCTGACGGGTCCTTCAGGCCGCGGTCGGGACCAGAAGCCTAACGGGCCCTGCCGGCCTCGGCCGCGACCAAAGGCATGATAGGCCCCACAGGCCGCGGCTGGGACCAGAGGCCTGACACACCCTACAGGCCTTGGTCGGGACCGAAGTCGGCTGCGTCCACGTAGCGGACGAGGCCGGAGTGCACCGAGACCGCGCGGCTGGGCAGTGCAGTGGGAATGCCGTGCAGATGGAACGCTAGCTAGGGTTATGGACAGCTACTGCCAGAGGATACGTGGGGTTAATGCGGACATAGCGGTCACCCAGCTGCAGCAGACTGTGATAACCGCGGTCATGGGAGAGCAGAGCCCTTTACTCAGGCCGAGCAGCGCCGGCTCGCTAATCGGAGGCTGCACGGGGCGGCGCTGGCACGCAGTCGTCCCTTCAGCTTTGTTGACCCAGCGTGGGGACCGCCGGTAGCGGCGGCGGCGTTCCGCGAGGTGCGAGTGCCGCCAGTGAGGAACGGCCGCCGTCCGTGGGAGCCACGTTCTAAACGCGGGAACACGCGCCTTCATTTGTCAAAAATCGGAGCAAAATGGGTCGCAAGTTCATGCTTTGTTTGCGGGTCGCACCTCGCCGGCGGCGTGTCCAACGAAAACGGTCATCGCTGTAATGGCCTCAGTTTACGGCGAGCGGCCGCCGCGGCCACGCAGCGCGCCCGCTGTTCCGTGGCGGTCATCACACCCGTGCTTATATCACACCCGGGGGTGGTCATCACGCGCCCGGGGCTGGACTGTGCACACACACCATCAGGAGTCGCTGCAGCGCTGATGGACGCTGCTACCACAGACCCTGACAGCGGGATAAGCCAGCGCAGACTTCGGCGAGAGAGGCACGGGACCAAGGCGCCCGGCGCGCGGCCTTCACCGCGCGTGGCACGCGCCGGCGACTCCCTCCGCGTGCTGTCCATCGCAGGCAGCGCCCGTCCCGGCGCCTGCCCCGGGAACCCCGCCGCAGGCGCGGACGGCACCGCGCCCCGGGCGGAGCCGGCGGCGTTCCGGTGGAGGCCTGTGACGTCTGCTAAGTAGGTCGGGCGCTTGCGGCGCGGTGGTCGGCCACCGCCGGTACCGTTTCCGTTGAGAATTTCGTCTGCCGGGGCGGCTGGTCGTGACGCAGTGCTGTTCTGGAACGACGCGCTCCGCCACCGCCCGCACACGCTGCTGGTCCGCCACGGCTGCCCCCGCCCCGGCAACGACACGGGCCGTGCTAACTGTCCGCTGGACGGGACAGGCAACACCAACCGTCAGCTGGACAGGCCATTTACCGGCGATACTATCTTTTCTCAGTAATTACACGGATGGGAAAATAACGATATCGTTCGTAAATTTTAGTACGCCAATCGATATCATCATATCATTCATATCATATAATTTATTGGGCGTGCGGAAACATCGGGTAAGTTAAGCTCACACCGGGGTCGGCATAGACCTTCAATGCGACGCTG